GAATGTGATGATGACCTTAGGGGTAATCTGATCACTGAGAAGCAGCTTTTCAAATTGCTTTTGAAAGATTCTCCTTTTCTAGAATTCCTCAGCGGTGCCTGTTTGCCATTTCATCATCTAATTATCTGGGTTTTAGTGTTTGTAGTTCTGATACCATCATATTCATTACAAAATTATTTCCTTAGGAGCTAGAACTAACCTAGACAGATAACAAGAAAAGGTGATCCTTGTCTCTGCCTAACAGTCCTCTCCTTTCTCATCCCTTTCTTTCCCAGTCTTCCCCTTCTGTCTCCAGTTTTCTGTCTTCTCCCTCTACATTTTGTTCATTTCAGTGTATTGAAAGGTACAAAATGAGAACAATAATAGGAGGTAAGCGAGGAGGAGGTAAACTTCCCCTGAAGAGCTACCATTCAGTGATAGGACGTATTTTGTTCCTTAACTAATTTAATTACTTGGTAGTCTGGTAGACTTGGGTTCCCGTTTTGGTTTATAAAAACAGTGCATCCCGTTGCAGGGGAAAAATGACACAGTCCAAGTGACTATAAAGCACTGTGGGAAAATGCTGTTCTTTCCCATATTGCTCAGAAATAATCACAGTTTATTATTTTCATGTCTGCTTCCAAATTATCTGTATCTATTTACATAAACTACATTGTGTCATATATTAGCTATGTTGATTTTACATTTATAACTTGCTCATTTGCCTTTTAGATCAGTCTTCAGTTGGTTAGAAAGTATCTGAAGGAGTATACCTTTCTATTTTAATCTGCTTGACATTAAATTCTAGTATCTCCACTTCTTCTTTTTCTCTTTGGATTTTATTAAAAATAAAACCATCACTGCGAAGGGTGATGTTTCCTTGTTTTTTTGGTTTTGCCAGTCTTGACCTTTATAGGGGCTCAAAGTTCATTTGTAAAGATAAAAGGAGAAACAGACTTTGATATGATACAACAGCTACTAGAGGTAACAAGACAGAAAATGGTACTTGTGTGTTACGGCTTCATTCTTTTCAGACAAGTAGTCGGTTGTATGTTCTGCCAGGAATGGCAGTGTTCACATAAATTAGGAATTACAGTCGTGGGAAGATTTAGAGCTCTCTGTGCTCCTGGGTGGGGCTGGGGGTATAGTAAGAGGTCAGCGTAAGGCTGGTAGCTCTGTTGCCAGGACAAGAGATGAATACCCTGGGGCCTGGAGTACAAAAGCAGACTGTGGTCAGCTCTGGCTGGGCCAACGCAGTGGAGACCGACTGCATTTAGACATCTCTGAGAGTAATGGCAAAAGTGCTGATAAAATTGCTTGCTGTTGCTAGGCACCAGAGAATGAATTTCACATTCTTCACAGCTATCCAGCTATTGGCTATAAAACGTGAATTAGTATTTCACAATCTTGTCTTACAATATGGAACAGTGTTTTTTCCCCTCCTTGAGACAGATTGCTATTTAACAAGATTCTTACTGGGTATCTCTAGTGCTACCCACAGAATGACTTGAGTATATATTCCTTGGTTCCCGTAAATGTGGGTGGCACTTTTCTAAATACAGACTAGGCATTGTCCTATTAGATAAACATTACTACTGAGCATCTTTTTGTTACAAGAACAAAGCACACACTAGCTGGCCATGGTGGCACACATCTGTAATCCCAGCTTTTTGGGGTCTGAGGTAAAAGGATCTTCTCAAGGCCAGCCTGGGGTACATAGTGAGTTCCAGGTCACCTTGAACTACGTAGTGAGACCCTGTGTCAACAACATAAGTAAACAAATAAATGTACAAAAGAAGGAGAACATACTGCATTTTTTTCTTTTTATGGACAGGGTAATTGAAATTGGCCTGTGATATAATCTCATGTAGCAGAAATACAGAACAGAAACAGCTATCGTGTCAAGTCTGCCAAGGATTTTGTGTGTCAGAGAGAGAAGAGAAGCTGTGTTTTAATTTTGATAGCACAGCTCTTTGAATTGTTCCTGACCCATGATCCCAATGTGAGAAGATGCTTTTTGTCTTCAGGATGTGTGTCATGTCCTTTCTTGCCCTGTGCTGTCTGACAGATAGGCATAGTGCTTTCGGGAAAGGTTTAACCCAGCCCCAAACTTGTAATCTCATTGGCCGGATTTCTGCTTGGAGCGAGGATTCGAAAGGCTTTAGGCCGGAAGGGAATCTTAGAATTTCTTTCCTGTCCACTCAGGCTTCTGCCACCACCACCACCTCTACTACACACACATCTGAAGAAATAAAGTGTTTTCAGAGCTGATTCAAGCTAAATGCATGTGAGGGTGATTGGTTAAGAACATATACATCACAAGGCAGAGAGTCCTGAACATTATCGGAACCTACACTGAGGTTCATAGCATCTCCGGTTTTCTCCGTGTAATGTTCACTTATGTGGCTCAGTGATGTATTCTGATAGTATTTTTAAAGCAAAAGAAATGTGTTGCAAAGAGTTGATGTCTCCAGTTAGAGAGACACTTAATCCCTTGTAATTGAAAAATGGCACTTGTGTATATAAAAAGAGCTTAAGACCCTGTGAGGTATCCTGTTGTATTGAGAGCTGTCCTCAGTCTGGCTCATCGCGTCGTCTTACCCAAAGCATCTCCAGAGAAGCAGCCCACTGTGTCCTGAGGGTGGTTCCAGGGATGTCTGCTGACAGATCCTCTTTCCCACGGCTGCATTCTGCTGTCTAGGAGTACCATGCTGTAGTTATCCCGAACCTCGGCATGCCAGGGTCTGACTGTATAGTCCAGACTGGCCTGTAACTTGGTAGATAGCCCAAGGTAGCCTCAAACTCATGGCAGTCCTCCTGCCTTATGTGCTGGGATTACAGGTGTGGGCCACCACATACTGCTCTCATATTTTAAAAAATCATATCTACTGGATAAGCAGTATTCCATTCTTTGTATGTGAAAACAAAGTACAGCCCAAGTCATCATTAAAACATGTGAGCACCTCATTTTTTTATTAGCATTGGTTATTGTTTCAGTCCAAGCTTTGCCATGTGTTGAAGTGGGTATACACTTTATTTTTTTATTTTTTTATGTTTTTCAAACCCATTTTAAAGAGAAAACAATTTCAAAACATGTCAGTCAGGTACATATATTGTGCATTGTCATCCCGAAGTCATTCACCCAGGGCACATGTTTTTTAAAAAGTCATGATTTTCTTAAATCAAGTCTGTTTGAATTATCAAGTTAGAGTAGAATTAGTCCTGTAGAATCTGTATTTCTTACTTACCCTTTGTATTTTTTTTTTTTTTCTTTTTTCTGGTACTGGGGATGGAACTCATGACTGCCTGCTTGCAAGGCAGGCGCTTATGCCACTGAGCTAAATCCCCAGCCCCTACCCTTTGTACTTTTAATGAACATGATTGTTTGATTAATTCAATTTAATTTAAAATTTTAAAAAGGTAGTAGGAGCTGGTCACTGGAGTTCAGCTCTGCCGTTAGGTGTAACAAGTTGGTTGTTGCTTACCTGGGCTTTCTTAACCCTGTCTTACAGTTACATATGAGATTTTCAATCTAGGTGGCTTGACCTGAGATTATGAGATTTTAATTTTGAGGTTGTATTGTATCATAATATGATTTGTAAAAATATGGGAATCTCAGGAAAGTTGTAAAAAAAGTGGGCAAGATTTATTGGACTAGAATAATTAGTAGGGTTAAGATAAGGGACAAAAGAAAAACAGAAGTAAAAAGACTCTTAGAGAGTCATTAAATTATTTTATCTCTTTTCCTGTGTATCTATACCATTCTCATATTTGTAAGTTCTCATTCTTGAAATAAGATTAAAAAATATTGTGTAGGTAAAAGAAACTAGGGGTAAAGTGATGGAAGTCAGAGAATTCTCAATTTCCCTGTTACACAGCTTTGTCTGTATCTGGTCTTTATCTGTCTTTCATCCCTTAAATGTAATTATCTGAAATACTTTAAAATTTCTTAGGACTCTAATTTTCAAGATTCATTTCTGTGTCCTGTGGGATATAGGAAATAAGTACAAACTGGAGACGGTAGGGTTGATCCTGGTAAGTTTTCCTGTTGCTGGGACAGGATACCCGGCACCAGATACTTGAGGGAGGAGTGATTTATTTGCCTCACAGTTTAGTGTGGGCTCAGCCCATGGTTGGCTGGCCCCAAGGCAGACACTGAATGGTGGAAAGACCTGGCAGAGGAGGATGCTCAGTTTATGGCAGCCGGGAAGTAGAGAGGGAGGTAGGAGCCATGGACAAGAACGTGCTGTGCCAGTGACCCGCACCTGTGACCAGGCCCACTCCAAGCACACCAGACTTCCGGGGGCCTTTTGGATGTAAACCGTACCAGAACCTAAGCGGTGGATGTGTGTAGGGCGGGAAGGAGTGGGCTGTGCTTCCTGAACTGCTGTGAATAACAGGAGCGGCTCTACATGGAGCTGTGCATCCTGATTCTTCCTGTATATTTTGTAATTTTCTCTTTTTTTTTGTACTGGGGATGGAACTCACAACCCTGTGCTTGCCAGGCAGGCACTTCTGCCAGTGAGCTAAACCCCCGGCTTATTTTGTAATTTAAACCTCAAGTAATAACTATGGTCCACATGTTTATGAATGTTGGTATCTTTAAAAAATAACTCCAGGGAGGATTTATTACTTAAGATTCTTTTTTACCTTATGTACTTTTTGGTGAAATATGCCATGCTGTAGTGGCTATGTACGTGTTTTAAAGTAAAGCAGTCCCTAGAGTCATGGTTTTCAGATGGCAGGCTCATCATTAGACGGATTTTTGAGTCCCACTCTTACATTTGTGATTTAGTGACCCTGGGTGAGGCCCCTGAGTTTGTATTTCTAGAAGATTCCCCAAACTACTGCTCCTCCTGACACTTGAACTTCGAGAGCTGCCACAGTAGAGCCTGGATTCCAGAAGGCGGAGGCAGCACTCGCTTGGCCTGGTCCTGCCGGATGGGTGCTGAGTGGCCTGTAGCTCGGGTAGAGCTGCGGCAGTGATCTTCTAATGTAGTTCTGTCTTTTACTTTTTCCAGATTGGTGCCTATGATCAACAAATATGGGAAAAATCTGTTGAACAAAGAGAAATCAAGGTAACAAGTTTATTTCGTTTTATCCTAAAACATAATTCTCTAAACTTTTACAAGTCACATTTCATTTACCACCTTTCCACCTACCTTTAAGATGTAAATTTATATTCCCCTGTATTTTAAAATACAATAATAAACTGTTTATGCTGACCTAGTCATGTGTCTCCTAATTTTTTTCTTTTTTGTCTTTCCATTCCTTTTAAATTCAGTTTCTAATGGTTATTTTCTTGTCAGCTTTTTCCCCTTTCACTTGTCATATTATATTTCTAGTTTGCTTTTCCTCCCCTCTGATGCTGTCTTTCCTCTGTACAGTTTATTAAACTGGTAAGTGTTGAGGCTCTTCCTGCCTGAGTGGTCCCTGCAGGTGCTGCCTCTTAACTGGCGTCTGCTGTCTGGTGCTACTAACGGGTGACTCGGGTGCAGTCTCTGAGCTGTTGGCCAAGGCCTTCTGGGCAGTAAAACATGAATGCATTTTTATCATGGGGTAAGATGATTCTCGTAGGCTACTTTGCTAGCATGAAAACTGTTTAACTAAATTTGTGTTTCTTAGCACCTTTCTGGTAATAAGTTGTATGTTTTTTTCATTTACATAGATACTAATCAGTGTGTTCCTGCATGAGCTAAATGGAAGCTGGGCCCAGAGACTATTACTTTAGTTACTTGACATTTTCTGTTTTGTACTGAAAAGCTTACATTAGATTGTAAACCAGTGTCTATAGTATTTACTTTAAAACCTGCTGAAGAAAATCTATCAATTTAACCATGTTGTGGTGTATTATGTAGTGAGTTCAGAAATATGAAGTAGATTGTAGTTTTGTAGAAGAAATACATAATTTGAATGAGATAATTTCAGTTAGGAGATGCGTGTAATAAACACGTCTGTATAGAGGAGTCCAGAAGTAGGTGCCCCTGGGGAGGTTTTGGGATATTTTGAGGGGGAGAGTTGGAGTAGTCAAGTGACCTAGAAGTAGTAAACAGGTCTGCTAGGACAGCTTGAAAGGTTTTCTCTTCAGTAACAAAACAACTTTAATTAGTGGACCAGGGCTATTAGTTCTCTGGGAGGTCCTGTTACCACATGGCGTATGTGGATGTTTTCTGAATTTAAAACCTGAAAATATAGATATAATTTTTTAGATTTTTGGAAGCCAATTGTCAGAAATAGCTATGTTATTTATATACTTTCCTCATTTTTAAAGAACCAAACAGAGGGGAACTCTATTAGTTACTGCTTGGTGCTAAAAGAATGATCGTGGGGGAGGACAGGACCCAGAACTGTTTTCTGAAATGTGTCTCCCATTAAAGACAATGCTTCATAAAAGTAACTGAAGCATTAAAATTCACTTGCGTTATTTTGAGTTAAAAGAATCAGTTTGGTCAGACACAGTCGCACATATCTGAGTCCAAGCTATGTGGGTCCTGATCAGGAGGACCCTGAATTAAGGCCATGTAGCAAGACTCTAAAAAACCCAAACAACAACAACAACAACAAAATACCCACAAATACATAAAAATTGACAGAACTGATTGCTGACAGGACTGAAAAAAATTTCATTCTTGCTGAACATTTTTATGAAAGCAAATTATAAGGGGCTGGAGGTTTAGCTCAGCGGCATAAGCCCCTGCCTTGCAAGCAGGCAGTCGTGAGTTCGATCCCCGGTACCGATAAAAAGGAAAAAGACAAAAAAAAAAGAAAGCAAATTATAAAGTAAAATAAGGAAGATAGAAAATGTGATTGTTAATATTTAATTAAAACAAAATGTTCTTGTTTAGAGAGTATACCAAATGCATCGAGCCTATCCTAAAATCCAGTTATCTCACTGTCAGAGTAGTGAGCAATTACTAAAGAAACCAGAGAAAGCCATGAGAATGTTTTTCTTGGAAATGTTATCTTTTAAATTAAAGTCCTATAGCTAATACTGCTAAAGTCAAATCTCTTGCAAGCTGAAAGTAATGTTTCCTTCAACTTTTTGGAATTGCAACTAAAAACTTAACTTCATTCTCTGAGCACTTTGGCCAGTATTGAAAAATAAATGTGTAACAAACTTCACAGCTAAGAAATCAATAGATGGAATTGCAGCTGTCTTTTACCATGCAGCACCTGAGAAGAGGTCAGTCATACTCCAGGAAATAGAAGGAACTCAGAAACTCAGGGGCAAAAACCCAAATAATCCAGTAAAACGGTGGCCAACAGACCTAAGCCAGACTTTGTAAAAGGAATACATACAGACGGTGAACAGATATGGAAAAGTGTTCAGCATCACCAGTCAGGGAGGTGCAGACCCAAACCTTGCCTAGCTAGCACCTCACTGCAGAAAGAAGGCCGCGAGCAAAAGCGGAAGGCAAGGCTGGCACGGACGTGGAGGGCAGGGAGCACACGGTGGCGGAAGTGTAAGCTGCACGGTCACTGTGAAAACAGCAGCGAGAGTCCTGGAAAAATAAAGACTAGAATTAGCCTAGTGTCCAGCAGGCCGACTGCTGAGTAGATATCCAGAGGAGGAGATGGGAGTGAGAGGGACGGCCGTCCTCCCATGCTCGTTGCGGCCCTGCGTGTGGTACTGGGCAGCAGAGACACCTGAGTAGCTAGCACCCGAGGGAGGAGCAGAGAGGCGGGATGGAAAACGCAGTGAAGAGCTGCTCCGGTAGAAAGGGTGCAGTCCTGTCCTTTGTGACGCGGATGGAACTAGAGGTTGTTTTGTTCAGTGAAGTCAGGCACGGAAAGATAAGCAAAGCCCCACAAGGGCTCGTTCCTGTGGAACCTTGAAATAAGGAACCTGATTGCCGGGCAGCAGGAAGCGGGCGGCAGAGTTTGGGAAAGGCTGCTGGTGGTACCAGCCTGCAGTTAGACAGGAGCAGATGCTCCCGTGCCCTGTGCTGCTCAGCCATGTGCTGGGGGCCCCCAGAGCTAGAAGGAGGGTTTGGATGATTTCACTCCAAAGACATGATCAGTGTTTGATGCAACACGTGTATCCTGATCTGAATGTTATGATGTTATGATGAGTACATTCCAGTGCATGTTTATATTCATGTATGCACCAAAACATCCTGTGGTACCCATATAAGTACATGCAGTTAAAAAGTAAATGCATGCTTTTTTTCATCTTTAGAACTTAATAGACTTTAAAAACTTCCACAGAAAGCTTGTGAAGTCACCAGAAGGGAAAAGGCAGGGGTGCGGTGGGGGATACTGAGTCACATTTCCAGCACGGGAGACTGAGGGTTAGGTCCCCCTTAGGGTCTGTGTATCACAGTAGCCCCATGCCCAGTGATGAAGGCCGTCTAGATACCCAGCGGAAGTACTTTGTAAAGTCAACAGCCCTCTTCATTTTTTGCCACAGCATTGTCTGTGCAATTGGGAGATTTATTAAAAAATAGAAAACTTCGTACCATTTGAGGCATTGCACTGTGGCAGTGATTAGGTGTGCATTCAAAAACAATATATCCTTTTTATTCTCGCAAGTTGATTATATTTGTATTGTTTGTTTTTCCCATCTTGTTTTTGTGTAAATGAAGAGCTTTAAAATTTCATTCTTTTCAAACACTTATTTTTCATTTTTTGTTCACTAAAGTTTTGTGATGATTCAGGATTGTAGGTAGTACTGAAAGCTATGCTACTTTGTATGTAATTTATACCAATCCAATTTAAAATTTCCCAACCTAATTAAAATCATGCTTTATGAATGTTTATCATGCTAGCATCCTTTATTTTATAACTAAAATTACCACTGATTTATCAATGAACGGTTTCTTTATTCTGACAGACAACTTGAAGGGGAAATTTTATTGGAACTGTCAATTATGGTGTGACCATATAGGTCTAAATAAATGCAATTTAACAGGATGTGAATAGTTTTCAAGTTTTTGATGATAATAAGAATGAATTTAGATTTTTATAAACTTCCCACCAAGTAAAAATGTGCTTCTTGTAATGAAATTTGAGTATATGTATGAGTAGAATTGCTTGTCTAGATTAAAATATTTTAGGAGTGATTTACTCAGACAGAAGTGAGGTCGCTGGGATCTCACTGTTTGTGGTAGTTTCATTCTGTGAGGTCCCTGCCAGCACTGAACCAGTAATACCCATTGCTGCCGGGGGAAATAATAGGTCCCTCCAAGCGTTAGGTCACAACACTGTGTCAACCAGTCGATCTTTAGCTTTTTAACTAAATGTTTCTGTGTAAAAATACATACATACATATATATTTGCTTTCTTTCTAATGATAATTCATAGCTGGTAACTAACTCATGTTTAAACAGTCTTTTTGCCTTAGGAAGCACAAGACACTGAAGTCCTATGTGGGTGGTTTTTCTTTCTTTTTTTTTTTTTGGCATCAGAAATTGAACTCAGGGCCTTCGTGCTTGCCAGGCAGGCACTACAGTGCTGAGCTACATCCCCAGCCCCTTGTGTGGGTTGTTTTAAGCAGTGAGTTGCCAATAGAAAGTACAAACGTGAAAACCGTAACCCTAAATGGACTGAGAAGAACACTTGGATACAGTGATGACAGCCAAAACAAAAGCCTGGGAGCCCCCACCCCAGTGGTGCTCATTTTTTCCAGTGAGGGCCAAAGCACCAAGTATACGGGCTTAAGGGTGTGAGTGGTAGCGAGCGAGTTTCCAAATACAGAATGCAAGTGTGTGACGTTCAGCTGCAGTCATTATTGCTGCTGGATCTGTCTTCAGCTCTGACTTTCCATCTTTGTTTTGTGTCTTCAGACGGTCCCTCTGACGGGGGAGTCTGTGAAGGGTTCCAGGTTAATCATCCTGATTTCAGGGTGCAGTCTTGGTTTAGATGTTAATTCTAAGTTAATTGCTACCCCCTTGTTTGTTGTGCATGCCAGCGGTTCTTACTCTGATTTTAACTGTAGGGAATCACTTTCCCTGTGATTAGGACCAAAGAAAAGATTTAGGGCCCAGTTTCTTACTTTATTGAATGAAGACTTTAAAAGTCATCTAAACCCTTGTGATTGTGACCTCTTGGCACCTGAGGAGTTTAGCCTAAGCTCTTCACATTTCCACATACTAGTCTTAGGTAATTGGGGATTATTTGTTTGTTTTGAGATAGGGTCTTGCTGTGTAGTCCAGGCTGGCTCGAACTCAGCAATCCTCCTGCCCTGGCTTCCTGAGTGCAGGGATTGCAGGCATGAGCCACCGTGCCCGGCATGTAGTTTTCATTTTTTGATAGTTTTTTCCCCACTGCTTTACACTGCCATCCCTAATCCCATTCTGTACCGATGGCAGGAATTTAATCTTAGTCCATGCTCAGTTGTTTTGAGTTTAAATGGATTCAGCTCACAAAAACCCTTTGCCTGCCTGCTCCTTCTGATGGCGTGTCCGTTTTGAGTGACAAAGTGACCCTGTGGTCTGGGCAGCACCCACTCTGAGACCGTGGCACGGCACTTTCTCTGGGGTCACATGCTTGCCCCTGCTAAGAAGCTTGCGTCGGGGCTGGCCCTCTGTGCTGAGATCTGTGCTTTCTGTGACCTCAGGTCAGTGCAGTGTCCAGGAGGCCCCCTGCAGCTCTGGGGCTGCGGCACCCCTGGAACCATACAGTAGTGCTCCCGGATTTGCTGGGAGTGGCGTTAGACTTTGTGTTAAGAGTGTTACTGTCTGCTGTGGGTGGGCTTTGCATGTTACATACGTCTCTGAATCTATCCTTGAAGGCAAAAATTCATTACAGTGCCATAATTATGTTCCATCTGTAATAGATACACAATGTGCCCAGTGTTTGACCTAAAGATTTTGTTTTAAATTGAAATTTTTAAAATTTGACTGTCTTCTGCTATTCTGGACCAAAAGAATATGTAGAATTCCAATACTACTCTTAATATGTTTCAGGGGTTAAGGAATAAACCAAAGAAAACAGCACATGTCAAGCCAGACCTCATAGACGTTGATCTGGTAAGAGGTGAGTACTGGGTAAATAATCTTGCAATTCAAGTTGACATTGAACAGGAAGAGAAACTCAGAATAGGTTCAGTATGTAGGAGCCTGGATGAGGACAAACATCCTAGAAAAAAAAGAATAGGGCATTTGGATACCATTAGGAGTCTTTCCTCCCACTAAAGATCTTCCAAGAAATAAGTATGAAAAATAGCCTTTTATGTCTGCTTGGCAAACTATAGAACTGTGTCAGAAATACTAAAAGCACTTTGTTAAGAAATTAATAATTCTTTTTCATTTTGAAGTTAGTAATTCTTAATGTAACTGACATTTAAATACTCATATTTTTAATAAAATATGTGGGAGAAGTTTATATCATTTTAATTCATCTTTTCCAAGGTGTCTGGATTAGTATACTATCAAGGAGAATTCAGTTTTTTGTTTGTTTGTTCGTCTGTTTTGGGTCTTTTTTGATACACGGTCTCACTACGTAGTTCAGGCTGGCCTTGAACTCCTTTATGTACCCCAGGCTGGCCTCGAACTCATGGAGATCCTCCTGCCTCAGCCTCCCGAGTCCTGGGACTACAGATGGGTGCCACTGCACTTGGCTTGAGACTGTGTTTTAAAGTGACTGCTACTCCAAATTGGATGTTTGCACTCACTGCACAGAATATAATAAAGTTACATGGTGTTCTTGTTTTTCAAACACTGAAGTGTTTCTGTAGGGAAATTAGAAGTGAACGTTACCTGCCATTGTATTTTACTTGTTTCTCAGGGTCTGCATTTGCGAAGGCAAAGCCTGAAAGCCCGTGGACTTCTCTGACTAGAAAAGGAATTGTCCGAGTTGTGTTTTTCCCCTTTTTCTTCCGGTGGTGGTTACAAGTCACGTCGAAGGTCATCTTTTCCTGGCTCCTTGTCCTTTATCTTCTTCAAGGTATAACTCAGTGATGGGAGTGCACTTTATTTTTAATTTTCAGGATGTTTTACTTTCTGGGTTACTAAGGCTGGTTCTGAATAACATATTAACTACTGCCCAGTGTGAAGTGAGTGTGTGTTGGACACAAAACTAGTTTGGTGTTAAAAATGTTTAAGAAAACAAAGCAGATGTTTTTCAGTATGATTTACAAAAATTTAGGGATGGCTGAAGAAAAATAGGAATTGACTTAAAAATTAGAAGCAAAATCTCATTAAAATGCATCTGCCACACACGCAGCATTCTTTTTTTTTTTTTTTGTACAACCTATGCAGGATTGTTTTTCTCGCCTAAGACTTTATTTTCCTGCAGCTTACTCTGCTGTGACCTTGCTGCCCTCACTCTGTCAAATGCTGTCTGTCATGCACCCTTCTAATTTCCTTCTCAGATTCCTGTTTAATTCTCACAACAGCCCACTGACAGACAGATCCCACTGTTACCCTGCTTCATAGACATGACCGAATGGCTTATGGATCCAAAGCCAGTGGCCACCCGGTCTGGTGGAGCCCGGGTTCGAGGCTCGGCCCTGTCACCCAGAACTGCACACAGCCAGCTTTGTCATGCTGCCGTCTGACGCGGCACAGTAGACAGTACGCTGTGTGGGGGCACATTAGAGCGTTTGGAGCTGGGAGGAGAGGTGGCTCGTGAGAGCTCTCACCCTGACAAGGCCATTGTTTTAGTTTGGTTGATGCCTTTCTTTTTCCTGTGACTTTTTTAAAAGTGTGAGTTCCATTCTGAATGATTATTCACATGTTTTATCAATAGATTATGTAGGAGATGGTTTTAAGAAAATGAAAATAGAGTGGAAATTACAATTTTTATTTAAACTTGATTTTCCAAGCCAGGGCATACCTTCAGTCTATGAAAGGGAGTGGCCTGTGGGGGTTTTGTGGTTAGTGTTGTCATTCTGTATTGCTTGTGTGGTGTTCTTTGTTTTTTGTTTTTTAGTGCTGGAGATAAAACTTAGGGCCTCACATACGCTCGGTGGGGCGCTGTACCACTGAGCAAAACCTCAGCCCTGTTTTTTTGTGTGATTGTAGATATATGTTCATGAAATAAAACATAAAAAATTTAGAAAAAGCCAAAGAAGGATAAAATATTTTCCCATAACTTTGCCTTTTGATTTATTTTGTAACATTAATACAAGGTTGAGATAATTTCATCTAAAAAATATTGTTATTTTTGCATAATGTCATAACAAGTTTCAGAGTCTTTATACATAGTTTAAAATTACTAGAAAATATTACACATCAATATCAGACAGTTAAGCTACTTGTTGTCCTTTGCTATTTTAATTAATGTTTGACATTTGTTTATGAAACTGCCTTCTATTTTCAATTGTGGATTCTTAGAATGCATGAAATTGTCTTACAACTTTCTAATTGTTTTTTGAAAGTTTATTACTAGTAATATATTACATGGAAATTCTTTCAGATTTGCATTATCTGATATTTCATAGGTATAGCTGTAATATCTATTAAGTTAACTTTTTGTGAAATAATCTAGTTTGTTACACTTTTTTGCTGTTTGGTTTTTGTTTCCTGAGACAGGGTCTCGCTATGGAGTTCAGGCTGGCCTTCAACTCACTGTGTAGCCAGGCTAACCTCAAACTTGTGGTAGTCCTCCTGCCTTAGCTTCCTGAGTTTTGGGATTACCTGTGTGTGCCCAGCCATACACTGCCTAAGTGGAACTTGTATGCATCACATTGTACCTTGACTCCATTAGTAGCCATTTCTTCAAAATATGCTACTATAAAACAGTGATCATACTCAAGAAAATGAATAGAAACCTCTTAATAGTCTAATTTTCCACTTTTTCCAAACAAAATTAGACTCTCCCAGGTCCTGGACTCAGGCTTGGTGAGGTCCAGAAGCTTGGACAATGTCTTTACTCCCTCTTTGTCTACTCCACTGTTGTGGGCTGGTTGCATAGCACGTTGGTCCTTTCTGGGTGACAGCTGAAGTGGCTCCAGCAGTTTCATATTTCTGCAGCCTTAATATTTCTGATTTAAAAGTGCAGCCTCTGTTTGAGCCAGCTGCGAATGCCCTGGAACTATGTGTGTCTCATTTCGTTGCAGTGTTGAGGAGTTCTGACGGGTCCTATCTGGGCTGTGCATCTGGCTTTTTATCTTTTATGCCCAGAGTTACTGAGATAGAGGCCAACCTGGATTACATGTCCATGCCTGGGGAGGCGGGGGGAGATAGGCTTTCACTGGCTGATAAAGACAGGAGATTCCCAAAAGGTACAGAGACTTTAAGTCCAGAAAGTCTGAAGCATGCAGGGCAGGCAAAACCAGAACCTCCTGTTCCCAGGGTCATGGTTGCCACCGATGGATGTGCGCTGTCCAAGTGGAGTTAATGTTTTAAACTTGAGTCCCCAGAGGTCGTCCCATAGACCTCTATTGACAAACTTTGTATCAGACTCATGGTACACTATCGTAGACTTCTTGTTTTTGAAAGACAGTAGGGGCTGGGGATTTAGCTCAGCGGCATAAGCACCTGCCTTGCAAGTGTGTGGTCGTGAGTTCAATCCCTGGTACCGATTAAAAATTAAGAAAAAAGAGTAGTAAATGTACCTGATGTTGAAGCAGTTGAAGAAGACCTGTCCGATCTGTAACTGGTTGTTTCTTTCCCTCCTGCAGTTGCCGCAGTAGTGTTGTTCTGTTCCACTTCCAGCGCACATAGCATACCTCTGACGGAAGTGGTCGGGCCCATATGGCTGATGCTGCTCTTGGGCACAGTCCACTGTCAGATCGTCTCCACGAGGACACCCAAGCCGCCCCTGAGCACAAGTGCTAAACGGAGAAGGTACCGTGCTGCCGGCGGCAGGGATCTTGTCAGTTTCTGTAATTTCAACCTGGGATGGTTTTTGTCTGCACTTACCTTTGTGCAATAAAATGTTACCTGGTAATGTTGCCCTTTCAAAGCAAGTGAAGCATGGAGCCCCCCAGAATCAGTCACCACTTTCCTGCTCCCACCCGGTATTTGCTTCAAGCCCATTTTTAGCCTGTATGCATGTGTTTCTGTTTTTGTTTTGAAGCTTACTTCTGGTGACCTCTAAGACTGGTGTCTGAAATAAAGGTTAACTGGAATTGTGAGATACTTTTTTTTGCTCACAGAATTTTATATTTCTGTGATACCTCATCAAAAATATGAGCAAAGAAAAAATTCTAGCTGTCTTTAATAAATGCTGTTGAAAGCATTTTAATGCCCACTGATTAGGTAAATGCAGCAAGTCTCTCTGGGCATTAAGCACAGTGGGATTCTGTTTTTAAGAGTCTTTTGGAGTAGTTCTTTGTTTGAATATTACTGCCAAGAGATTGGGACAGCTTGTTTTGTTAATTAGATTATAATTCTCTCCAGGCTAAATTTTTTTTTTCTTCACCTGCAGATAAGTGCCATTCAAATAGGGAAAAGGTGCTTTTGTAAATATCTGTCCAGAGTGATCCTTACCACCTTCTTTCCACTGACCTATCAGGATGAGCCAGGAATAATATTTTCACATTGTAGAAACTGATGTATAGAATTGAATATGTACCATGGTATTTCAATGAAGTTTTATCCAGTAAATTTGAATTTTACAGTGTAATAAAGTTCCTGTGTGTGTTTTTCACGATTTGCAATGTGCTTCCATGCCAAGAAAGTCTTAAAACTATCTGCCTCTCTTCATCTTTTCTGAAAGGAAATTGAGGAAAGCAGCGCACTTGGAAGTGCACAGGGAGGGAGATGGTTCCAGCACCACGGATAACACGCAGGAGGGAGCGGTCCAGAGCCACGGCCCCAGCAGCTCCTCCGGGGTCGGCGCTGTCTTCAGGGACCTCTGGCGCGCTGCCTTCTTCTTATCTCGGTTTGTGTTGATTCAGGGTTTCTGAGGCACAGAGACACACTGTCCCTTCGTAGATAATGAAGTGTTGAGTATTAATGACTTACCTATAGCAGCCTTGTGCTGGATTTTGTTTTGATACATTGTAGTGCTACAAAATAGAGACTACAAGTTTACTTTGGGTTAGGTAAACAGAACTACTCAAGAATGAATGTATGGGGGCTGGGGATTTATTTAGCTCAGCGGCATAAGCGCCTGCCTTGCAAGCAGGCAGTCGTGAGTTTGATCCCTGGTACCGATAAAAAACGAAAAAGACCAAAAAAAAAAAAAAAAAAAAAAAGAATGAATGTATGCTAGCCAAGTGTACTTATTAGGATCTCTTGATTTTGGTTTCTTTCAGTGCTTTAGATTAAAACTGGCTTTCATGTGTCATGTGAGTTTAACGAAATACTTTCTTCTAAATACCTGTCTCAGTTATCTTAACATTATCCATTTAACTATAAATGTCTCAAGTTTGTCCTTATTTATAGTAGAATATTAAAAAAAAACCATTTCTTCTTTATCCATTCATCAGTTGATGGGCATTTGGGTTGCTTCCAAGATTTAGCTGTTACAAACTGTGTTGCTATAAACATGCATGTGCATACATCACTGTGTGATATGATGCTTTTATTTCTTTTGTGAAGATCCCCACAAAGGGAATAGCTGGGTTGAGTGAAACTCGTGGTCTAGGGTGTTTTGAGGAATCTCCATGCTGATTTCCACAGTGGTTGTATCAGTCTACACATCCACCAACAGTGGAGAATGGTTTGTTTTTTCCCACAACCCCACCAGAATTTGCTATTGGTTGATTTCTTGATAATAGCCATTCTTTCTGGTGTGAGATGGAACTCAGCAGTGTTTTAATTTGCATCTCTTGAAAGACCAGTGATGTTGAATGTTTTTCTTTTTTATTTTAAAGAGAAAAATGAAAAATAAAAATAATAATATAGAGTTTCAAACCAGGATAATAAGAAATTAACAATGGTTAATATATTGTGTATTTATTGTCTTCAAAGTAGTTGCTCAGATTGTAAGATATAGGCATGCAAAATTAATCAAGTCAGTATAAGCACCAGCCGATCCCTTCAGTGAAATAAAAGAAATTAGTAGTATAATTGTCAGCCATCGTGTGTGTGTATGTGTGTGTGTGTGTGTGTGTGTGTGTGTGTGTGTGTGTGTATTATTTTTCTTTTATTTTAAAGGGAAAAAACAAAACCAAATGGAATAAGAAACAATGAGAACAATAGTGGATTTCAAAAACAAGACAATAGGAAATCCCCAGTAGCTACTATATTGCATATTGTTATCCTCTAAATAGAAGCCCAGACTGTCAGCTTTGACCTGCAAAGTCAAACACACAAGCATTAAGTCGATTCTTTACTTCAGCTGCTATCATGTCAGCCTGTGTTCCTCCGAATTAGATGGTTGCTTATGGGGGTGCGAGCTGGATCTTGGCTCCCAGCCACACGCTGGCAGGGCCACATGGGAGGATGCGGCTTGGTTTCTTGGTACACACACACACACACACACACACACACACACACTCATACTCCTTTCTCCTTTCATCCTAGTTTTTTTCCATATATTTATTTGCTGTTTGTCTTCCATTTGAGAAGTGTTTGTTCATTTCAGATGCCCATTTTTGGATTGGAGCTTTAAATTTGTAGGGGGTTTGATCTTTTTGAATTCTTTGTATATTCTAGATATTAGTCCTTTGTCAGAGAGATAACTGGCATAATTTTTCTCCATACTGTGGGTTGCCTCTTCACTCTATTGGTGGTTTCTCTTGCTATGCAAAATCTTTTCAATAAGATGAGATCCCAGTTGTTGATTCTTTGTGACAGTTCCTGTGCAGCCAGAGTTTTCTTCATAAAGTCTTTGCCCACACCAGTGCCTTCAAGAGTTTTACCTATTCTGTCTTCCAGGAAGTTTTAGTGTTTCTGTTTTGATATTTAGATCTTTGATCCATTTTGACTTTAGCTGAGTACATGGTGAAAAATACAGGGCTAGTTTCAATATTCAGCCTGTGAAAAGCCAGTTTTACCCATACCATTTATTGAAGAGACTTTCTTCCAGGGAAGGTTTTTGGCTCCTTTGTCAAAGATAAGGTGACTGTGACTGAGTATCTCTGGAATTGTTTCTGCATCTTCTAATGTGCTCCATTGATCCTCAGGGTTTTGTTTTGTTTTGGGGTGTTTTTTTTTTTCCAGTACAATGCTATTTTTATCACATAGCTTTGTAAAAAAGTTTCAACCCAGGGATTGTGATGCCCCCTACCTTTCCTTTGTTGCCCAGAATTGTTTTTGCTATTCTAGGTCTCTTCTGGTTCCAAATGAATTTTAGGGATGTTTTCTTTAATTCTGCAAGGTAACAAATATTATTATTTAAGTGAATACAATTCATATTGTAGTGCAAGTGTGCATCTGGACACTGATCTTTTTATATAGTCCACACATCCAAGGAAAATTTATCAAATAAAACAGAAAATAACAAACATCAAAAATAATCCTAACCCAGTCATGTATCATCATCATTATTATTATTATTTTGAGTTGAATATTCAGAATGTGTAAAGGTTGTGTCATAGTTTTCCTATGCACATATTTGAAAAATTAAAATGCTATGATCAAAATATTGAATATAACTGAAAAAAGTGCTAAATTGATAAATCAAGAAATTGGGTACTACAGATAATTGGTTTCTGTCACTTTGGTAATTATTTCACTACTATCATTGTTCTGTTAATTTATGGTTGTGCTCTTATGATAAAGCTTATCATGCATTGTACAGCTAAGCAGTTATCTTGTACGCATATTTTCAGTGGTTACAATTTTTAGAAAAATTTTCCAAAGTGTTAATAGTTAACAATAACATGACATTAATCAAGTTGAACTCTCATTTATTCCAATTACCTGTTCTTCCCCAGAGGCATAGGCCCTTTTACCTGACCTGGGTTGAATTCTGCATCTGTCTGTCTGTCTGTCTATCTCTTTTCTGTCTCTCTCCTTAGTCTTCTTTAATAACATAGCTCTCCTTTCTAACATTAAGATGTAACAGATTAATCACTGCAAAGTCAGCTTCTTAAACATTCGGTACTTCCACATAAGCAGTTATAAATGGCATAGAGAATGTATTTTGTTTGTCAGGGACTTTCTGGTATCTACAACTCATTGCATTATGCACAGTATTTAGAATCTCTCTAAAAGTAGTAGATTGGTGCTTCCAGGAGTTTACTATGTTTCTTCATGATAGCTGTACATCTAGATATTTTAAAAGGTAAGCTGATTTTAACTGTTTCATTTGTGAAGCAGCTTGCTGGCATACAAATGAGTTTGTTTTAGATAGTAAATGCAAAAAGACTTTAGAAATGTTAATTTTAAGAAATTTAATTGATGAAGAAGGGCTTAACCTGAAATATTGACTGAGACTTAATAAAATTATTTCTGGCAATACATTAAAAAGCTGGTTACTCCCATGAAGGTATAATAGTTAACAGAACTGGGAAAATAAAGAATCACACAAATGTCTAAGCTTTGTGTGTGTTATCTTGGTGATTTTCGGATATTACGATGAAAATAACTATTTTAAAGCCACTGTTTATGTATTGGAAGGGTGCTTTTGTCATCGGTCAGTATATTTCATTCTCAAGATAAAACTGTTTTAGAAATGAGGCACAGTATTTCTTATTTGAAAAATTAAGAATTACTATGGAAAGTACTTTTAGGAACACGAGAAAATAAAAGCCAAGAAAGTACCAATTTTAAAACATACAGAAATTTTTTATAGTTCCCAAGATTTAGTACTTTAATTTTGATGGATTGTTAGCTTTAATTAGAGTATTTCTACTTTATAATTGAATAGATTAGATAGGGTAATTACATATAGATTATTACCTCTGCAGCATGGTACTTATTTCAGAAGTCAGATTGATTCTGTTATCTTTTATGTCTTTAAGATTGATTTAACAATTATAATGTTACTGAAAACCAGACCAACAGACAAGAATTACGCAATTTTTTTAGTGCAGAACATAACTTACGTGAATTGACATGCGAATTAGAGACAGATACCGGATTAACACCAGAGCAGTTAGTTCATGTGCCTGAGTGACCTACTTTGGAGGGGTCTTGAGTGGCCGGGGGGTGTGGCTCAGGAGCAGAGTGCTTTCCTAGCATGGGCAAGGCCCTGAGTTAGATCCCAGCGCTGTAGGAAAAAAAAGAGAGAAAATGTTTCTGTCCCTTGTCACCTCTGCATTGGTTGTTTTTAACACAGAAGTGAAAGCTAGAGTTGTAATATATTGATTTTCTTCATAGAACAAGGTAAACTGCATAGTGTATGTTCAAGCAGTTACTCAGTCTGCCCAGAAATTCATGCTGGCGTGATCAGGACGTGCTCAGGGCGCACACACGTCTGATTAGTGTGTGACTGTCCTGTGTGCGTGGCTCCGGAAAGCAGTGACGGTGAATGTGGAGTTTTTGCATCGTTTTCTGGTGTGGAGAGAATGCATTCTACCTCTGTGCTGCCCCTGCCCTCTCCCCCGATTCCTGACCTTGTGGAAGTGTTACGAACCCCTGGTGGGCAGCTTCCCAAAGTGTGGGCAGCTGAGAACAGTACGGAGAATAGAAGACCGCACAGCAGGCGGTCGGTGTCTAGTGCCACCTTAACTAAGTCACTGGACCTGTGTGTCTTACTGACTCCTCATGTGCAAAGCCAGCCTTAGAATCACTCGGTTCTCAGCTCTGCCGGCTCCTGAAACACAATACAGCGCAACTCGGCAGACTTACTTTTTGATACAAAACGACAACATACTAATTTTTTTTTAGTGAAAACTGATACTCTAGGGAAAAATTTAAGGGGATTTATTTAAATATAATTGGTTTCAAATTATGTTTTATGATAGACTGAATCTGCATTGAGCACATATTAATTTGTGTGGAACTTACATTACTTCATTAATTATTTCTTTTAGATAGCCTTCTTTTCATCCACTGTAGTCTGTAAAGAAGACTCCAATGATTTGCTTACTAATAAAAAAGTTTATTGGGGCTGGGGATTTAGCTCAGTGGTTCAAGCGCTTGCCTGGTAAGCACAAGGTCCTGAGTTCGATCCCTGGTACCACAAAAAGAAAAGTTTATTATTTCCCATATTGTCTTTTATATATGGAGAAAGATTTTATTATAATAAATTAATATCCTTAATTTTAGCCTTTTAGAGTTTTTTTCCTTTTAGGTGTTTATGAGTTTCATGTTTACTAATCTAACATGTTTTCAGAGTATTTCATTCAGTAAAAGAGCTTACTTCTTCATTTTGTGTTCTTTATTGTTATTTTTTCTATTATTTGAATCTTGTTGGAAGTTTTCCTTTTTTTCACATATTTTTATCTTAAAAAGGTTCTGTGTTTCTATTATGTGTTAAGATGAATTTGTGAGGTATTTGCTTGTATGTAGTAATTGGTGAACTAGACTATTAAAAGTGCATGTAAACTTTCAATCTCAGTTTGACCTGGTAATTGCTAAGGTAGTTTTTAAAAATAAAATTTCAAAATATATTTTTAAAATTATTTATTTTTAATTTTTTTTACTTTCAAGGGAATAAAACCAAAATGAACAGTGATAAGACAGTAGGAAATCTACAGTAGTTACTATATTGCATATTGCTAACTTCTGAGGAGTTGTCACACTGCCGGCTTTCGGCTGGCTCACAGGCAGGGGCGATATATATTATTAACTATAGTAAAACTGGAAAAATTTTGATTCTGTGCTTGCTCAAAAAGCTGTTGATTTTTGACTACCTCTTATTTAATTTAATAAATTAGAGCATGTCTTTTAGAATTGTTACTTGTGAGACCTCAGACGTGGGCAATAAGCTGAACTAAGCTGAGATGACACTTGTGTATTACCTTGCTGAAGCTATTTATTGTAAAAAGAAGAGTAGCTTTTAAAATTGAGACAGAGCTACTTAAAGTAATTGCCAAAGGATGATGTCTATCAGTGACCCTTCCAAAACGAGCTAAGTCAATATTATGTGCTTCTACATATTTTTTTCTTTTTAGATCAACAAAAACAAAGAATTCAATCGATAAATCAACAGAGACTGACAATGGCTACGTGTCCCTGGATGGGAAGAAGACTGTTAAAAGCAGTGAAGATGGAGTACAAACTCATGAACCTCTATGTGAAACTATTCGGGCAGAAGAGACAGCCTGGATGCCAGCAGCACCGCGGAGTGTCCTCAGCAAAGTGAGTGCCCTCCCGTGGTGTGACCAGTCTGTAGTGCACACAGCTGCCGAGTGCAACCTGCGGAAAGGCAGGCGCGGAGAAACAAGGCCCTGTACCCCTACTACCTTACCCCAGGCTTGGCACTGTGCAGCTTCCGCCCGTCCTGCAAGTCCAGAGTATCGTGAAAGGTAAACATTTGGAGTTGGTTCAGGACATGGAGGCAGCCACAGAAACTTAACTGAAGACACTCATGAAAGAAGACTTCCCGAACTGCTCCAGGGGTAGCAAGAACAGTGAGAGAAGCAAGTTCAAAGCAAAGGGGAATAATGAATGGCAGTGTGTCTTTTATTGGAACAGATCCTTAAAATTTTTTAGATACTCACCGTACTTTTTGATCACACTGCATAATCCCTTACTATGATTTTAGATTTTTTAAGCATTTAGCTATCTGATGTCTACTGTGTGTTACTGTCATCACTCAACAGATAAGTTTTCCAGTACATTTTCAGTTACATAGTACTTGATAAAGTTATGGGTGAGGAGCGAGGAAGATAATCGGTAGAATGCTTGCCATGTTGACTAACCCAGGGCCTCAAGCGTGCTCGGCTGCTGAGCCGCGCCCTAGCCCTGGAGTCCTTTAACTGACACTGGTTTATGCATCACGTCTGTCTGAGATGTACACATACTCAGCTGTGCTTTACCTTCTCTTGCTGTCCCATATGCCACTGTTAAGTCAGTGGTTTAACTTCGCTGTTGTTTTTGTGTTTGAAAAAGTGTAATTAGTTCTCAGGTTTCTTGGCTTCTTTGAAATGGCCTCTGTTTTCTTTCTGTCCCATTCTGTATTTCTTAGTCTTGTAAGTTGTTTCAAATCTTTGTATCTACTGAAATGTAGAACAACATACAACAAATGGCTGTTGAGTTACTTTTGAAAGTAAAATGCAGGTTTTCTTTTTTGTCTTTTTTTTCTTGGTGTTGTTGAGCATTGAAGCCAGAGCTTTGCATAGGATTGGGAGTCACTCTATCCCTGAGCTGTGTCCCCAACCTGGCAAGTGTATACTTTTAAGAATATAATTGCCATTTTGAGATACGTTTGCAGGTAGTATTAATCAAGTATTTGGTGACATTTGATGGTATTTCAAATGTATTTGTAACTTAAAATATTGCCATTTTGAAGTTAACAGGTCAGATTTTTTTTTTTTTTTCTGCTTTTGGGGTTTTGTTTTCTTGTTTTTCTGAGACCGAGTCTCACTGTATATTTCAGGCTGACCTTGAACTCACTACATAGCCTGAGCTGGCCTCAGTAGTCCTCCTGCCTCAGCCTCTGGAATGCTGGAATTACAGGCGTGCACCCCATGCCTGGCAGAAATGACTTCTTAATCCTCTTTGTGTGCTTCAAACTTAGGATACCCAAAGGATAATAACAAATGTCTCTGACGAAGTCTCCAGTGAGGAAGGTCCTGAAACAGGATATTCACTTCGACGTCACGCGGACAGGACTTTAGAAAGCGTCCTTCGGAATAGAAAGTCACACCATTACAAGAAGCATTATCCTCATGAGGTATATATTTGACCTTGCGTGTGTAACTATTTTATACATTGCTCACATGTGACTTCTTTTAGCAGCTGAATATTGTTGAACTGTTTCCCACCATAATCAGTATGTATTTTCATGTTGATTTATACAGCAGTGGGGTGAGATTTCTGAATTACACACAGTGATCGCTGTGCGTCTGCAGCTGTTTTGTGCACTATTGCTGAGTGTCGTACACTCACGTTGCTGATGACCCTTAAATGATGCTGTGCTGTCTTGGACAGACAGTCTGTTGGGGCTGAGTCCATCTTTCCCACAGGTGGAGAGGCTTTATAATCCTTACTAGTTGTTTTCTGAATGGCTTTCTTCATGTTGCTATAATTACTAAGTTCTCCATGCTGTATAGCTTTCAGTTTTTTTCTTTGAGTCTGTTTTTCTTTGGTGATTTTTCTTTTCCCATTTTATCATCTCTTGAGCTTGAAATTATTTTAATAAAAAAAATTTATTCTAATTTATTTCAGTTTCTTTTCTAAGAACAAAATTTTCTTGCCTGTCTTCAAAGCAGATTATTCCTCACGTCCCTGTTTTGATCAACAGCATCTTCTCTTTTTAAATTCTGTTTCTGGTTTTTTTCTCAATGCTTTTGGTTTAAACTTAGGAAAACTCAAGCGTTACACTGTTGCAGAATGTGAGTAACTTCAGGGTGCTGAGACCAAAAGAGTCTCCTGTTCTCCCATGTTCTCTGTGGTTGTGTCCAGGCTGCTCCTTCTGCTGACTGTGACTGGTTTTTCTCACAGTGGCTGCTGGCACAGACACTAATCCATGCTGTCCCCTCCCCGCCTTACCTGCGTCATTTCCCCATGCCATGTCCTGATCCCAAACCAAACAGCCAAGCTAGGGACCTTCAGGACCCTACTGTGCCAGCAGTCACAAGGTCCTCGGCCCGGAGGAGGCTGGATGGCTATTTGATCCCATTCCCGTGGGATGCACTGTTTAACCTTGGGTACATTTCTCACCCTAAGGGTGATCCTTATCTATCTTGACTGGCAGCTGTATTTAGAGGTGCTTATGCTGGGGGAGGGATTGAAACTAGGGCCTTTGGCCTAAGCTGTACCCCAGCTCACCCTGCTCTTCCTTCCTTCCTTTATTTATTTATTTAGAAACAGGGTCTTTAAACAGTTCCTGAGTTGCCCAGTCTAGCCTCAAACTTGGGGTCATTCTGTCTCTAAGTGCTGGAGTTACAACTCGCGAGATTCTTAAAAGACAGAACAGTGTTCTACTAATCTTGACTTTGACATAAATATGGTGGTTAAACTGTCCCAGATTTCAACCTAAGTGAGGATCATAATTAGCTAATATATATTGGCTGATGATACAGAGAATTTAAACTAAAGGATATTTTTTAAAAAGCTTTTAATTTGATATATTTGCATTCATTAATTTGTTTTTTTGTTTTTTTTTTTTTTTGGTCTTTTTCGTTTTTATCGGTACCAGGGCTCAAACTCACTCACGACCACACACTTGCAAGGCAGGCACTTAAGCCATTGAGCTAAATCCCCAGCCTAAAGGATATTTTAAAAGCTGCAAAAGTTTAAAAGTTTCAAAATGCTTTAACTTGCTCGAGTCAAATCAACTTTAAACAATATTCTTTAAAGAGCTAAATAAACCCTTTTTGAAAAATTAAACAGAGTCAGACTTGTAGTGTTGTTTTGCTTTTTTCTTTGTATTACAAATTAATTTCTTCAAGTCACTGGTGTTGTTTTTTTCTATGAGAGTGAGGCACCCCACCACCACCACCACCTCTACCACCAAAAAGGGTGTCCTTTGGGCAAGCACGATAAGCAAATCTAGTGCCCAGGCTGTGCTGTTAGCTCTTTAAATGTTCCACAGAAGCTGCGCCTCTTGAAGAAATGATTGTTTGCTGGCTCCTGAGGAGTCCAGGAGCCTTTTATGCATGGTTGAAAGCTAGAAGCTGCCAGAGACTACCAGGGTTTTTCCAGATGGTCTTGGAGGCCACAGATAGAAGAGTTTGAAAACAGTTTCTACTGACAAAAGCTCTCCAAGGAATACATGAAAAGGAGCTTTAACAACACGTGGGGAGGCATCTGGTGCAAGGCACGAGTGGAGAGCTCCCCAAGGTGAAGGTCAGGGGCCCCACCTCTCCATCAGCCCTGAAGGGCATTGGGGCTTTTCAGGAGCAGCTGTTGGCCTCTGGCTTGGGGTGGTGGCTCAAGTCCAGACTGCCTGGCCCCAGAGTGCCCGAGATGAGACAGGTCCTTGTTGGTCCCTGTGTAGACTGTCACTTGTTCTTCCCATTTTCTAATGATTGCTCTGTCTGACTGGCTTCCTCCAGTCCCCCTGCTGGGCGGGTGCTGGTAGGACTCCTTGGTGGTTTGGGACACAGAGGCTGTCCTGGGGGAAAGACAGCTTCTTCCACCCCTGCGTCCTTTGTCTGCTCTATCCTGCTTTGTTCAGCTCAACTGGTGCCTCTGAAATTCATTCCCTGTTGTAGATTAGTTTTTCATCTGATGGAGGTGTTGTTTGATGGGAAGCGTAAAGAAGACACGGTGGACTTTGTGTCAGATCATTTACGTGACTTAGGGGAAAATTGCTTAATTTCTGCCTTTGAACAGTAGAGAGCTAAGCTGGCCTTCCCAGACTGTTAGAAAGTCCCACAGAAAGCTGCACTTCTTGAAGAAATGATTGTTTCCTGGTTCCTGAAGATTGCAGGAGCCTTTTGGTATGATTGGGAGCAAGGAAGCTGTTAGAGCAGAATCTATGTGGGCTCTTCCAGATGGTCCTGGGGCCACTGTTAATATTTGCATGTACAAATTGTATAGAGCTAAAGAAAAACTGGGGTTCAGTTAAGAGGGGATCAATAACATTACACATAAAGTGCCAGAAGTCATTTCTGTTATAAATTCTTACTCTTCAAAAAAGTAATAAGTCTCCTCTAAATTTGAATATACATATTGGGTGGGGCTAGAGTGGGAAAGAGGTGGCCGTGTGCAGGTTAGAGGGAGCGTGGTGCCACTGCGGGAAAGGTCTGGGGTCAGAGCGAAGCCCTGCAGAGCAGCTGGCCCGGAGGAGGAGGTTCAGCCTTCCCCGGGAGAGAGTGACGGAAAGCACGGCAGAAGGATCTGGCTGAGAGAGAGGCATTCGTCAGATTAATCTGGGAAGAGGATAAGGGTGGAGGAGGAAGAGCTTTTCACAGTTTAGATGAGAATCAGGTCTGAATTCCGATGATCCTGGGAAGGACCAAGGGATAAATACAAACTGTTTAAGTGGTAAGATTGACAAATCTTAGTGGCAGAGGAGTGCCAAAAGCAAACCCGGAACTTTGAGCATGGGTGGTTATAAGGATGGCTGTCACCACTCTTCATTCCGTAAACGTTTTTAAAATCCCCGTATTCTGTGCATTAAAAACTAGGATAAAGTAAATGGTTTAGGTGTCACTTGTGGATTTTAGCTTTTCATTTTATACCACAGATAATCTTAAAAATATGAGTTGCCAATTACCTTGATTTAGGTTATCAATTTTAAATTTCAGTTTGGGAAACAAAGGCAGTTGATGAATGACATCTACTGTTGCTAACAAATACTGGAGTAGGAAAAGATCTCTTTTAAGAATATTAAAGAAGGTTACCATTCACTGTGTAGGTCATACAAACTAAGACTAGTCTCTACCTTCCTGAATTTGGAACCTCATACAAAATTTCAGAGATCATAGACATGGTTTTGTAAGCAAAGTGCCCTAGCTGAAGTATGCAACCAGGTAAATTTTGATGTGAGAGCATTTTGTTACTCCTCAAAGATTAGTGTGTATGTTTAATGTTCTGTTACCTCTTCTGCTGTCTGTGGACAGGCTTTGTTTTGGGGAAAGTAGCAGTGTGTGGTTCTGATAGAATCCTGGTAGGTGGCAAGAATACATGAATTGTATTAATGTCAAAGAATATCTCGATTTCAGGATGCCCCTAAATCGGGTACTAGTTGCAGCTCTCGCTGTTCAAGTTCCAGACAGGACTCTGAGAGCACAAGGCCGGAATCTGAGACGGAAGATGTGCTGTGGGAAGACCTGCTGCACTGTGCGGAGTGCCGCTCCTCCTGCACCAGTGAGACAGACATGGAGAACCCTCAGGTTAACCCCTGTGCGAAAAAAGAATATAGAGACGACCCTTTCCACCAGGTTGGTCTGCAGCGTTGATTATGTGGGCTGGCAGTGGAGCTCCTCCGAATGTGTGTACAGATTTTACAGAGGGGAAGGAAAGCTTGCATTGAATTAAGACACCGCCACAGCCTTTCCGTGCATGTAAGCTGTGGCCTGGCTGTATCGGGACGTGTGCTCACGGTGCCCGCGTTGTGGCCGTATTCCTGTCTGTCCTGCCCATGGCGGGGGTTTTGTGAGCTGAACTGTGCCGTGGGTGCACTGGTCCCCTTCCCACTCTGCACCCCTCATTCTCAGATCTGTGGGCATCTTGCTGTGAACCTGCCCGTGCGGCTCTCACCTCCGCACTTGCCAGTGTCACACTGATTTTCCAGAGCACCACAGTCACACTGCTCAATAGGAGTACAGGCCACGTGGGTCACTTCAGTTTCCTGGTAACCTCATTAAAGATGCTTCAAACAGTAAAAATAATTTTAGTGTTTTATATAACCAGTTATATTCCAAGGATTAGCCCTTTATCATGTAACTAATACGAAAAGTGTTAACAAAATGTTTTCCCTTTTTTTTTAAACTAAATCTTCATAATCTAGTGTGAACCCTTAAGATCATCTCATTTTGTTTTTATCTTCTTAACTATTTTGAGGCAGTGTCTTTCTGTATAGCTCACGCCAATTATGAGCCCCTGTGTAGCCCAGGTAGCTCTCAAATGCATGTACCCTCCTGCCTCAGCCTCCTGAGTGCTGAGACCACTGCGCCCAGCTAAAGCGCATCTCACTTTGGATCCGCCAGGTGCCTTAGGCCAACGTGATTAGGGTACTGTGTGGGACAGCAGAGCTCTGTGGGCTGCCCGCACATCAGTGCCCCAGCAGTGCCCTAAACTACAGCACACTTCCCATCTGCCCTTGTAGCTCTTCCTCTCCCTGCACTCAGGGTCGAAGTGCGAGGGGCACATCTACCCTTGCTGACCACTCAGAATCCTCACTCTCCACGTGCTTTCTCTTATGCGGTTCCTCCTCAGAGCCTGTTCATAAAGCCAGGGAGGATGGTTTCAGACAACTAGAGATAGGACTTAATTGTTAACCCAGTGCAGAGTAGTCACAGGGGACTCCCGCCATCCCAGAAGTCCACAAGAGGTGGCTGCACACAAAGGCTTGTTCTTCCCTCCTGCCCCCCCCCCCCCCCCAGGATCGATGAGGTGGCCTTGTGCCGACAGGGCTGGGTTCTTGGTGAGTCCCTCTTTGGTTTGTAGACTGTTGTCTTTTCTGCCTTCCGTTTCTCCCCTCACAAGGGCATTACTTCCTGTTATCAGGGCTCAGCCTTCTAACCTGATCACCTCACAGTGGGTAGGAACCGAACAGAAGTACCTGTTACCCTGTTCTGTGTGTCAAAATTGTAACAGCATGCATATTTATGAGCATTTTTTGATTGGATTTATACTAATATAGAGTCCCCATCAAAAAGGAAAATACCAAAAATAAAAGGCACAATTTTAAAACACAGTGCAGGGACTTTCTCTGCTAGAATGAAAATTTAGCATGGAAGTTTGGAGGAAATGAGTAGTTTGATAGAGAAATGGAGCTCAAAGAGTGTTTTGGTCCCCACTGCGCAAGAGACGAGCTACAGAGGACCCTTCACGTGTCACGCTCAGGAGACCCAGTAGGAAAGACCTGGAAACTTTCAGAGAGGAAGGTGGTTGGTGGGAGGAGGCTTCTGAGGGGTCCAGGGGCAGCGTGACTGAGGCCACTCAGCCTGAGGCGGGGAGAGAGATGGCCTCGGCTGGGAGAGGGAAGAGGAGAAGCGCCAGGTGTCTGATGGCCTCCCGCGTGAGGTGCAGGATGCTGAGGGCCAACCACAAGAGCCTGGCGGATGGTGGCGAGGGCCAGATAGCCTTTCTGGTGGGCAGTGGAGGAGGGGCGGTGGGACATGTGTCGTTGTAGCCAGTGAACGCGTCACAAGGGTCATGCAGCCAGATGGCCGGGGGCCAGCTGCAGTGGTGAGCTTGTGGTTTGCAGTGCAGTCCTGTGGCATTTTCCAGAGTGTAATGTCACAGTCGCAGTGGTGGTGAACAGCCTTGCTGTGCAATAGCCCTGTGCACAGTCAGTGGTGCCCTTTACCCAGTGCGGTCTGGCCTTGCCCCCTGTGGGACGTGCTGCTCCATTTTATAGCAGGATCCTGCTCGGGGTGCCAGCATGACTGCAGCATCACAGAGCAGTGCCCAGTCACTGATCAGAGGCCAGGGGAAAGGGCGCTGGCCAGGCCGAGCGGGACGCAGAGCTCCAGGCACGCCAAGCAGAAGGCTGAGTGTGCTGCGGGAACAAGGCCTCAGAGCTGAAGGTCCACAGACCGGCCAGGCAGGGGCCTGCGGTCGGTCCCCAACTCACTTCGGAAGCAGGCAGTGCTGTGTGGAGAGACTGAAGAACTGAGGATGAGTTATGCTTGAGCCTGGGCACCAGCTGAGTCATCTGCAAATTCAGCCTCCTCAGGAAGCTGAGCCCCTGGAGTTGTAGTGAGCTCTTTCCCAACAGTATGATGAGAGGCATTTTGCCCCATTGTGTCAGCCATTGCCTAGTACGAAGTATGTGTTTAATAAATATGTAGCTGAGTGAATATGTGAAATGAAATTAAAATTTTAAAAACATTCCTACTAGGCCTTTTGGGGGACTTTCTGGTTTTTTTTTTTTGATGCTATCTTGCTATGTAATTCAGATTGTCCTTAAACTCACTATGTAAAAAAAAAAAACAAAACAACTCACTATGTAGCCACAGCTGGCCTTGAATTCACAAAGGTCCTTCTGCCTCAGCCTCCCAATAGCTGGGATTATAGGTGTGTACCATCATGCCCAACTAGATCTTTCTTAAATGATTTAAACAATTATTTTTGGGTATCTATAGAATAAACAGTCCCTAAGTATATTATGCCATGCTGCTGCTTTTCTGTAAGACAATTCTTAAAATATTTTACTCTGCATATCTAACTGTGTAATTGGTTTTGCTTTAAATTAAAGTTGCAGTTTTATATGTATTTCCTATTTTCAGGCTTCTAAAAAGAGCAAGATCACGCTTTTAGTTTTATTAGTAGTCACATAAGGGACATTAGCTCCCTTTAATGAAAAGCTGCAGGGTTCTTTTCTTGTTTGGTCAAGGTCTGTGTTAGGTTTGCAGGATCCCTCCTGCCTCCGATAAAGATGAAGAAACAGACCATGTGAATTAGTATGTTCTAGTCACAACACCCCCAAACTTGTAGTTTTGTTTTATTGCTTATTTTCATTGTAAAAAGGAAAAACGTTTTTGCCATAGAGAGTGTGCTTCTGTAGCCATGGCGTAGGTGCTTGCTTCATGGCATTTATCCTTCAGTAGGTAAGGCCAGATGTTAATGACAACATCTCCATAGCTGGAAACACCAGGAAGGCAGTTACGGTGAATTTATTAGGGATAAAATGACTCCCACTTACGCGCTAAACTTTTCAGGCAGTTTTGAACGAACGAGCCAAGCAATTGAGATACAGATGTGCAATCAGTGAGGGTTCCACATTTTAGTTTGAAAGCATTGTTAAGACCCTATGTGATAAAATTACACGATCTAATTATTTTCTGAGCCTTTCACAAAAAGTTTCTCGACGATGTCTCTTTGCACACTCTGGGCTGGGCTGGTCCCACCAGGACAGCTTTCAGAATGCACTGGACGTGCACATGGCAGGGTTCGGCTTCTTTTGGTGAACTCTGCATTTACCAGTTTCTGATCGCCGTTTTCTCTTTTGCTTACTGGCTTTCTACGGTTAATAATACTAAATGCTGGTAGGCTAGCCGGGAAGGTAGTGGGTATACAGTTAAGTACCTGTGGAAGGACAGTAAAGAATTTGTCACTTTCCCATTTCTGTCACTACCTTGGTCTCAGTGGTATTGATGTGCTTTTCTCTGTGTAATTGGGAAGACCTTTGGTTCTTGCTACAGACTGAGATTGGAGGAGACAAGTTGTCTGTAACCTGTGGCTAAAATCTGTACCTCCTGTGTGCTAAGCTCTTTACATTGAGGTTCTTGTTCTTGTGTCTAGCTTTTTGCTTCAGTTATTTTGTTCCTTTCATTAAATTTTCAGAGAACTTTGATACATTGTATATTTTGATGCAAATTATTTCTAACTCAATTTGGGATATTTTGTCTGGGGTAAATTATGAAATGTCTTTTGAAGGAATTGATAATTAATAATTAGTATCTGTTAGCTCTGAAGGCCATCTAATAGTGAAATAGATACCTGAAAATCTTTTTTCTTTGGTACAGAGGCACGTGCTTGCCAGGCAGGCCGCTGTGTTCCTGAGCTGCCTTCTAAGCCCTGCACCTTCGGGAAAGATAAATTTCTCACCTGTTTGGTTACATTTTGTTATTAGACAACTTCAATCACGATGAGTCAAAGCGACTTTATTCCCCCAGAGGGAAAATCAGATGTCTTAAATTTACAGAAATTTTTACCATACTTTAATCAGTGTCCTCCAAAAATAACATTGCATAAAATTCTTTAGTTCCTTGTTAAAAGTTATTTTGATGAAATGTTATAAAATCTTTACATTAGAAACTCAAAAATCCATTGACTGTTTTCCCGTGAATGACAGAAATACAGTAGGCCTTTAAAAATGTTAGAAACACTGTGATATAAATAAATCCACTCTACTGTGCGTGTAATCTTTTAGTGTTAGTTTTCTTCTCAAGTTCTGATTATGTAAAGGTTACTATTTCATTAATTCTCTTTATACCTTTAACCCAACTATTCTCCTTTCAAGTTTTATACTCTTGGTGCCAGATGAGTAACAAAACAAAATAAATTTAAACATCTGATCCTTCATACTAAAGATTTCGATTTTCCTCTTTAGTCTCTTATTCCTCGAAACCTTCTTGAGAGATACTTTATCTGTACTTCAGGAAATACTTCTAGCTCTGTGTACTTCAGTTTACAATGTTTGCTCTATCTGAGGAAAAAAGCTGAACTGGCGTTTTGGAGAAATTCTAGATTAAATTATAAAAGTAACTGAACCAGGTATTTAAGGTAAGTATGAGAAAGAATTTCTTGCAGGCTGAGACTGTGTCACTGCGTAGGCTGTGAGAGAGGTGCACAGACTCAGCTGTGTTGCATGGTCATCAGCGGGGCGGGGACCGGCTGGACAGCTCGGCTCCATTCGTCCTTCACCGTCCCTGTTTGAAGCCACGCAGAATGATAGCCGAGTGCTTCCCGACACATTGTAGTGTACTTTGCTGGCCACAGTGCCTACTGCCTGTTGCGTAGAAGTTCTACCCTTGTAAGCTTACTTGCTGTGCCATGTAACATGCGCACTAATTTTGTTAGGATTTCAGGGTGGTGGAAACGGCGTGTAGCTAGAGCGCTGTGCAGATGTGTGAATGCACCCCAAAGCTGGGAGAACTGTGTGCAGCTGTGTCGTATAGGTTTGTACGCTCACCTGTCGTGAACGTGACAGACGAGTCACAGATTCCTGTGGGTTTCTCCGCAGAGTCACTTGCCCTGGCTCCACAGCTCTCACCCAGGACTGGAAAAGATCAGCGCTATCGTGTGGGAAGGCAACGACTGCAAGAAGGCCGACATGTCCGTGCTTGAGATCAGTGGGATGATAATGAACAGAGTGAGTTTCAGAGTTTGTGTTTAGTGGAAAGTGTACAATCGGTGGCCACCAGCCCAGCACAGGACTGCAGCGTCACCTCTGTGCCCTGCGCACGGCCGCCTCTGGCTGTGTCTGTGATCTGAATAGCAGTTTGTACTGAGTCGAGTAATCTTTCCACATCTTCCCTCCTCTGACCAAAAGTAGATAACGCAGTTAAATTTCTCCTCTTTTATGTTATTTTTTGTCTTACTTTCAGTGGATAGAATTGAGAAGCTGCTAGATATAAATAGGGGTTTTGACTTTTTTAGTCCCAGAAATTGAACACGGGACCTTGTACTTGCCAAGCGGGTGCCGGGCCACTAGCTATACCCCGGCCCTCCACAGGTGTTAAAAAAGACAGACTTTTCTTTATCACACTTCATGCTTTATTTGTTTATTAATACTCAAAACTTAACAAAAACATTTGCTTTTGTACTGGATTGTTTGCTTAAACATACAGAAGGAATGCAGAGGATGTTAAAAATCTTGAGTAGTATGAAGAAGTATAGTATAAACACTGGGTTTTATTTTAAGTAGATGCTATTAAATTATTTCCTTTGTCAGATAATTGCTGTTTAACATATTTGCTGATTTCTTTGGCATGGTCTGACTTAATATTCTAACTTACCTTGGCACGCTGTTATGCTAGAATTCTTGTCTGTACTTTTCATAGACCAGAAATTAAAGTAAGTGGACCTTGAAATTAATGTGTGCCCTTTACATATCTCAGTCTGACAGTTAAAACCAGTGAACTCGAGTCTCTGGAACCGGACCTAGCGGTGCTCTGCACCTAACAGTCTGTGAACTAGAAGGTGATGTAGGGGTACGAGCCGTGCACAAGAACAGTCAGCTAGGAGCCTTTCGTCACTACCAGTGTCAGTGGGTGTGAGGGATCCTTCTGATGATTTCGCAGTGTTCGTAAATACTCTTGACTTGTAAAATAATGATATGCATAGAATTCTTTTTCAGAATCTGAGTAAGATTGAGGTAGAAAATTGTTTTGCATCTACTTAAATTAACATCCAGTAGTGAATTATTGTAAAAAAGAAATAAATGTGTAATAGTTTGTCAGATTTCACTGTAGATTAAAATGCATTCTAACAAAATGATTTCCTATTGCTATAACCAAGATAAGACCCAATAGGATTAATTTTGACTTCGGTAAAACGGTGTGTCCCTTTCTTTTCTTTCCTCAATCCCTCCAGGTGAACAGCCATATTCCAGGAATAGGGTACCAGATCTTCGGAAATGCGATCTCTCTAATCCTGGGCTTAACACCATTTGTTTTCCGGCTCTCTCAAGCCACAGACTTGGAACAGCTCACAGCACACTCAGCTTCAGAACTTTATGTGATCGCATTTGGTTCCAATGAAGATGTCATGGTTCTCTCTATGGTTCTAATAAGCTTTGTGGTTCGTGTGTCTCTTGTATGGATTTTCTTTTTTTTGCTCTGTGTAGCAGAAAGAACTTATAAACAGGTGGGTATAATGTAAACTTCTAAATGGAGAAAATTTTATCCTTTTCATAATGTATAAAGTATTCCTGAAGTATTTTAGCACTTTGTTAAATCATTTTAACCTAATTATTTTATTTTGCTTTCATAGTACTTAACCAAATAAAATCATAACAATCCATTTTTTACTGATTTTTGTTTTTCTGTGGTAATCTACTTGAAAATTAATCCCCATCTTAATCTTTTTTAGCGATTGCTTTTTGCAAAACTCTTTGGACATTTAACATCTGCGAGGAGGGCTCGAAAGTCTGAGGTTCCTCATTTCCGGTTGAAGAAAGTACAGAATATCAAAATGTGGCTATCTCTCCGTTCCTATCTTAAGGTAGAATGGTAGTGATACAAGTATCCCTGCAATGCGGCTCCCTCGGATAGCTCGGTTTCTTTGCTAATTGTGTGTGGGATGTGTAGTCACCAGTTTGTCATGTGAAAGCAGGGTGTAAGATTTTGTTTCTAATTAGAATCCTTACTGCAAACCAGCAGAGGGAGCCTGAGACTTAGAAAAGAATCTGAAACGTTCTGTAACTAAGGAGTCTCCTCGCTGACGTGACCTGTTACTGTTTTTAAATTTTAGCTTGCCTGACACTCCTAAGTCATTCTTTCCATGCTGTTCTTCCTTAATCTTCTTAACAGTTCTCCTGTCTATGGCAGGAAGATGCGGAAGCTCCATTGGAGGAAGAGAAACATCTGAATTAGTTTCAGCAGCACTTTTGTTTTCTGGGATTTTGGGTTTTGGGGTTAAATAGCAGTGAATCTTATATAACAGTGAACTTTATTGTATTCAGTCATGCAAACTGAAGGTTAATTTGTTTAAAATACTATATGTGCTATTAAAATTAGACCCAAGACCAAATTCCTTCTGACATACTTAGATCTTTAATTTCTTCTTCGTAACAAAAGAAATTTTTAAAAAGGAGTTTTCACTGTTAACCCTTAAGTTTAACATTCACCGGCCTGTTTATTTTCTGGACTTGTAAACCCAGCTGTGCTAGTCTTCATTGGGAAATGCCACCAGTGGCACAGCTTGCTTTTCCTCACGCGGGACATTTCTGCTGTGTGAGGGAGGAACTGATCTTTGTTGCTTGGGTTAGTGAGAATGCATTCAGGATTTCTCCTGCTTACCAACCCTAAGTTGGTATTGAGTTCTTTGATGATTTTATTCAGCAAGCATTCGTGGAGTGCTAGCTGCATGCCATTACTGTGGAGCAGGCTGGGGATTAGGAAGCTTGGGGGCCACGTGGGCAGGGAGACCAGGACTTCCTCTCCATGGTCAGCTTCTCTGGGGTCCAGCCTCCCCTTCACCAGCAGTTCCTGCCCTTCCTGCTTCCAGATTGTATGGAATCTGTTTGTATTTGTTTCTGTTGTCCAGCCCTAGTGGAAATTTGCCGTCTCCTTGTGCTCTGGACTCCTGCAGCCTCCTAACTGGCCCTCCAGCCTTCGCATGTCCTCTCCCCAGGGTTTTCTTCAGATTGCCGCACAGATCTCAAAGTGTACATTAGCCATATGAATCTCAAACCTTCAAGAGTTTCCACTGCCCTTAGACTAAAGGACAGAATCTTAATGTTCTGCGGGCCCCAGGCCCTACTTCATCCAGCTGTCTCTTTGGCTCACTTGGAAACACTTCCCTCTGTGACCTTCTAGGGAGCTTCAGTTCTGTACGTGCACTGTGATCCTCCTGCTTTATCCCTTGCACATGCTCTTCCTGCCGCCCTGCCCCTGCCCCTGCCCCTGCCCGGGCTTGTGTGCCTACCTTTTCCTGCAGGAGGTCTTCCAGGCCCACTTCCTGACCCCTCGTCTCCGGTAGGTTTCCCTGACAGTGAAAGCACCCTCGCTCTTTTTCTCCCTGCCACTCACACCTGCACCGTGCCTGGGATTATCAGTTTGGTGTCCAGCTCCCCTCCTGGTACCTGTGAAGGTAGCAATCTTGTCTGTTGTGTTTGTTCCATTTTTGCACCTGGCAAAGTTAAGTTTTGAGCAGGTGCTCAGGAAACTTGTTGAGTAAATGATTATATCATTAGAAAGATACTCGAATGTCGTGTTACAGATTCCACAATACAGACTTTTACTGTGTTTCAAATTGTCAGGAAATATTAGCACTTTAAAAACTCATTGGATAAGTTAGGTATGTTTTTAGTGTAGTGAGTCAAGGCCTGCAATGATGGGTCAGCACCTTGGGCATTGGCTGCTCACTAATCAGTGTATGTAAAAATGTTTTCCATTTTTCCCCAGCGTCGCGGGCCACAGAGATCCGTTGATGTAATCGTTTCATCTGCCTTCCTGTTGACTATCTCAGTTGTATTTATCTGCTGTGCTCAGGTGAGTTACATGTTACATACTGAAATTAAACTAGCTATATTAAGTTTTAGAAGGCTTTTTAATGATGCAATGATATACCTATACCTAGTTGGACTAGCAAGTTTTGAAAGTTTTGCCCTTATTTTTCAGTAGAATAAGGCAGCACATTGTACTCTCCTCCGTGTCATGAGCATTTGCTCAAGTGAGTGAATGAACATATTTTGTAATTAGTTTTTGTCTAGAGTCCACCTGATTGTCTTTATAGCCCAAAACAAATGCAAGCCAGTAGAACTTTGAAATTACTCCACCAGTGTCTGGTTAATTCATGCTTAGTACTAATTTTTAAAATTTCCTATCCCTGAATCTCTGATTTGACCTGCACATGGTCTGAAAAAGAATTCTCAGTGGTTAGGACTCCTCAGGAAATGCAGGTGTACCTCGGGGCGCTCTGCTTCCATAGTGTGAGCCATTGCCTGAAAATGCGGTTTCAAAGCACTGAACGGCGTTAGCGAGGAGGAGCCCCGCAGGTGCTGTGGATGTGGCCGCGCCTATGCCTACGTGCTGTGTGCGCACCTGAGTTTAGAGGGCAGTAGGAGACGCGAGAAGCAGGCAGCAGTGTGGAAGGCCCGGGGTGGAAGGGTGCTTCCCGGTCAGGGACTTAGCATCTGGGATTTCATGTCTGCCCGAGGTAAGGGCCCAGGCCCTGACCTGCAGGCCGCCTACATGCATGCCGTCTGGGCCTACGCCTCCTCAGAAGCGTAGGAAGGAGACCATGTGGCCAGGACCCAGAAAGACAGGAGGACGCTCTGGCTTCTCCTGGACTCTGGATGGTGAGGAGGGGGAAGTGTCCCTGCCTACTGCAGGCCTGCCCTGCGTACAGACCAAGGCTGCAGGTTGGCATCATGCGTGTTTTCTGGTCTTTACCGTGTCAAGAAATTAATACAAAAAAGTCCTAGGCCCATAGACATCATACAGCAGTGAAACCTGAGGATAAGACTTCCCTGGACCTCAAGGCTTTCCACAGCCACCGCAGGTTTAAACCCTGAAGAAACAGTTCAAAGTGAGTCATTGGGTCAATAAATAAGCAGGTTTAGGTCTCCTAAACTGATCAGATAGAAACTAAGATTGTTTAAAACGATTAAAGACGTAGATAATGCCATGAGAAAAGAACACAAAGAGAGTCTGAGGAAGTCCCAAGCTGTTTTAAAGAAGTTAAAAGTGCAGTCGGCCTTCAACACAGTGAACAGCTGCTTGGAAGGCCAGGGCAGGAGCTCCAGGTCAAGGCTCAGCTCAGCCCGGGCGACAGAGCCCCTGTCTCAAAACACAACTACAAAGTAAGTGATTTTACAGAGAGTATTAAAAATAAGGCAATATTTTTATAAGATCAAGATCAACAAAAACAGATATACCATCAAACTTTTCCGATAAAAAGGAAAAAGACAAAAAAAAAAAAAAAAATCAATTTTGTATCTGTAATCCAGAGATTAGTAAACTGCTGTCTATAAAGAAAGGAAAGATAGACTTCTCCCACATCTAATGTTCCCTTTTCTTCTTTCTGTTCTTCTTTTTAAAAAAAGTACAGAATTATTCTTTGTTCCAGGGCCAAAAAAACAGGCCTAAAGCTAGATGTAGCCAGTGAGCCATCACTTTCTGACCTCTTCTTTGTACAAAAGCTGAATACGTCATTTTTAGGGAAAAACAAAATACAAGGTTCTCATGAATCTAACAAAAGATGTTTAGGACCCTACCGAGAAATATAGTAAACTTTATTAAAAGTTAACGTAAGAAGATATCCCATGTTAGTGGATGAAGAGACTTAAATTCAAAACTTTCTAAAATTTGTCTTGAAACACAAAGATCAAAGAATAATCCAGATAGTTTTAAGAACCCAGAAATACGAAAAACTTTTAAGACTAACTTAAAGTTATGGGCAAATCATGATTTGGCACAGGCTTTCTGTGACCAATGGGACAAAACGGAATTCTGTTTTATCCCTCACATGATGAGGGATAAAGTGGCATATAAATCAGAACAAGAAGACTTCGCAGCTTTACACGGTAGAGAAATGAGATAAGGTTGGAGTGAAATAAAGTGACTTCACATCCTACATAAAATCCATTTCATGTGGCTTAAACACCTCAGTGTGAAAAACAAATTTTAACTTGAACATACATAAAAATTAAAATTTTAGTAACCACCAGAGATAACCATAAATAACAAACTAGAATTTGGAGAGTTTAGTAAACAGTATGTTTTAACTAGAACTATTATGCAGAATATATAAGTAATTTAAAAATAAATTGACTTAATGATAAGAGAATACAGACTATGAAAAGGGACCTCTCAGACAAGGGACTCAGTGACTAAATGTGAGACACACGTGTCCTCCGGGTGTGAGGGGAAGCAGTGAGAGCGCGTCACACCAGCAGGCCGGCAAATCCTGGGCAGTTAGGGGGTGATGCCTGCAGACAGAGAGAGGCCGAGCCCTGCTGGGAGCGTGCGTGGGTGCGACTGTGTCAGAGGGAATCCGTAGTGTCTGGGGAAGCGGAAGGCGGGACATGCTGGTTTTCCTCCTGGATGTTAACTCCCTGCGAAGGCCGCCCAGGAGTGTGCGCACACCCGTGCTCATTGCTGCATTCATGTAAGGAGGGAAGTAGCCACGCAAGTACTCGTCGGGGGAGCAGCTCAGTAAGTCGTGCTGTGTCCCGTAGGGTTATAGTGACAGCATGCCTCATGCCGGGTGACATCTCTTAGCAGCTAGAATAAACACGTTTAGGCTACAGTTAGGAGTGTGGGTAAATTTTGCAAACAAGGTTTGGTGGCCTGAAAAGGCTGCCACATGATATGGTGTGATGACCTAGAATTTAACGCACATGTATAGCCGCTTACGGGTGTAAGTGTGTTTAGAAATGAGGTGGGAAAGGCAAACCCAGGGTTCGCTGCTGCCTCGGAGTGGGGCCAGAGCATGTGGCTCAGAGGCCAAGGCCCCTCAGAAAAGGTGAAAATGGTTTAACTGAACCTGTGACATTTTGTTGTTTAAAAATCTGTCTGAAACAAATACTGCCGAACACTAAGATTTAACAAAACTGGGCGCAGGGCAGTGGATTATATTATTCTATACACTTCTGTTGTTGCAATATTTCATAATGAATGTGGGGTATTTTCAAAATGCGACGTTACACTTATGCACAGTCTACGCAAAGCGCATTTCTTCTTGTGCGGTGTGGTTGTTTGAATCACATGGCTGCTTCACATTGCCTTGTTCCTCCATCTATTTTCAGCTGCTTCATGTGCATGAGATCTTCTTTGATTGCCACTACAACTGGGAGCTGATCATCTGGTGCATCTCCCTGACACTGTTTCTCCTAAGATTTGTCACCCTGGGATCAGAAACAAGTAAGAAGTACAGCAATACCTCAATATTACTCACGGAGCAGGTGAGTTTATCAGGCTGTAAGTCAGTCTCTAAGCCTGCATGTTAAGTTAAAATACTTTCATGTTTTCAGGATCATATTTAGTCGAGGTCATTCGTGCTGTAAAATTTGGTAGAACATCAGCCTTTCTTAGCATTGTGTGTGGAACTGATGATTTGCCTGGGTCTCACCGAATGAAGGGGAACTGTCTTGGGTCACTTATAACGTAGTTAATGCATAGGCAACAAAACTAGCTTTAAAACTGCTAGTGTTCTACTTTTTGAGGGCCAGGTGGCGAGCGACCCGGCCTCGAATTAGACACACCTGTGCAGAACAAGCTTGCTTTTCCAGGTCGCAGGGCCGTAGTTGAAGAACTGTGAATCGTTGTGCAGTAGAAAAGGCAAAGCATAATGATTTTGCCATTTCATTTTATTTTGTGTGAATTAGGTAAATACTTTTCTCATTGTGTTACAAGAATTCTATAAAGAAAATTACTGCCAATGAACTTGTTTAGATATTTTAGTAATAGTTCGATTTTAAAGAATCAAATAGCCTGGTCAGGGGAGCTGAATTAAAGGGCAAGGGGAGTGTGGCCCGCACAGCACCAGGGCCCCTGGGAGCCCCTGGGAGCCCCTGGGAGCCCTGCAGCCTGCTGTGCTCTTCGCTGATCGCACCTCTGGCTCGTGTACGGTGCAGTCTGGCGGACGCGTTAGCCTACTTGCCATGGCTGAGTGGCCCGTGGCGGTGGGGCTGAGGCTGCAGGTTCGGAGGGTCAGAAGGAGGGTGAGTGGCGCACGCGGCTGCCCCAGGCACCACCTCCACAGGCTGGGGCTCAACGTTCCCAGACTGACGGTCCGTCACAGGGTGGATAATTACACGTTTTCTTTAGTTGTAAAGAAATGACATATCAATGTTGTTGATTCTAATTATTTTTAAAGTAGATTTGCCTATGGGACTTAGAGTTGATTACATTTGAAAAGTATGTAATAGTTTTTCTTACTACAAAATTAGTTTATTATGGGAGATTTGCAAGGTATAGTAGAGGATAAAAAAGAGTATTCAATCACGTTTAGTGTTTACTTTTTTTAAAATAAAAGATAAACCTCTACTTGAAAATGGAGAAGAAACCTAACAAAAAGGAAGAACTGACACTAGTGAACAACGTTTTAAAGCTGGCTACTAAGCTACTGAAGGTAAGAATAAACTGAAAACAGGTTCTGTAGCGTGTAGAATGTATTATTCTGGCGTTACACCTTCGTGTCTACGGGTCCTATTTGTATCTGGTTTTCTTGATTATACCAGTTGTCTCTAGATTATATGTGAGTATATTTATGAAGTTTTAATTTGATCTCTCATTACTCAGTAATCCAAGTAATTTTTTTGGGAATTGTATGTTGGGACTTTTACTAATGCTTAGAGTACTATAGAGGTGACATCTGTTGGAGATTTATGCCTCCTAGACCACTAGGAAATACATTGTAAGGTTTGTTGCTAAATTGGGAAATTGTGTGTTTCTCAGATCATCTTTCTGCTTGGCCTGAGCTGACAAGTAATAATACATAGTCATCATAGTAAATAGGCATTATCAATAAATGTTTAATTTACAAATCATTTTTGGTAATCGAAATACACGCGTATTTTAGCTCTTGTTAACTCTCCGGGGAAATCTGCAGCTTTCAGAGACTGGTATGAAACAGCTGTGTCTCGGCAGCGTGCTTAGTTCCCGTCAGCTGAGAAGCACTAATGGGGCGCTGGCTGCGTGCCTGACCTCTTAGCCGTGGACAGGGTTCGGAGGAGGCAGTGGGAGGCGGAGGAGGGCGCGCTCGGAGCGGAGAGAAAGGCAAACATAGCTGAACTGCGGAGCGCAGCCCCTGCCCGAGGCCGAGCCCTCGGGTGGAAGATGCTTTTTCCTCTCTCCCAGCCCCGCGGCCCGCCTTTCAGGCATCTTCTGACTCGTCCTCTTGCGGGCTGTAGCACCCTGCGTGGCGCCTGGGTCTGTCACGGGCACCTTTAATGCCCAGAACTTCTTGGGGTTCTCCAGGTTCTGCTGTTCCCTCTGCCGCCCACACGGATGACGGCCTTGTGTGCCCTGGTGTCTCCCAAGGGCGGACTTGCTTACGGTCTTCCCCCCCTGCCTCGGGCAGCTGCAGTGCTCAGCAGCTGGGGCTCATGAAGTGTGCCCCGCGGTGTGTCTGCCCACCCGCCTGCACCCCGAGTTTTGGGAGCCTCTTCCTGTGGCCTCGCTGGCCTCTGATCTCCACGGCCAGGCTTTTCTGTTTGAATTGTGCGCACGCTTACCAACCTGTAAGGCATTCAGCTTAAAATCAGAAAGGGACTGGATTTTAACTCCGCAGAGCCTAGCGCAGGACTTGACAGGAATAGAACATTCAATTTCTGAATCAGTCTGTGTATCTGAAAATGAGTTAATCAAGAGTGGTATGTGAGGGGCTGGGGATTTAGCTCAGCGGCATAAGCGCCTGCCTTGCAAGCAGGCAGTCATGAGTTCGATCCCTGGTACCGATAAAAATAAATAAATAAATAAATAATATTTTAAAAAGTAGTATGTGTTGGTGTTGTCAAAAAAGGGCAGCCTTCTAACTCTCCACCAAGAGGTAATGTTCTCTTTTAGTCTGTATTCCAGCGCTTCTGTAAACATTTCTAATGTTCTGGCTACTAACCCAAAACTTTACAAGTCATTCGTTTGAGTTACAAAATGGAGCTACAATTTAATTGTACACTTACCTCAATGGAAGTCACTTTCTCCTAAAAACATAAAGTATTAAAATTTTAGTATGTCCTTCCTAAAAGCATACGTAATTCATAACTTCCTTAGAACAGTGTAGTGTCTTCTTACATCCTCACTGTATATTGCTCTAAATTAGTGATGGATAACTTCTACTGAATGCGAGCTAATGGTTGTTTTTGCCTTTTTCTTCTTTTTGGCATTTTTCTCTGCTGCTAGGAATTGGACAGCCCCTTTAGGTTATATGGGCTGACGATGAATCCGCTGCTGTATAACATCACCCAGGTCGTCATCCTGTCAGCTGTTTCTGGTGTCATCAGTGACTTGCTTGGATTTAATTTAAAGGTAGTAAGTTATGTGGTAATTAATCGAAGTGGTTCGTTTGTTGTTCATCTCTTAGTACTCTTGGATTTTTGTGACACTTACTTTACTGTATCTTTCTTTCAGAATCTCATGTGCACAGTGATGAAGTCAGTTTGATAAGATTGCATATAATTAGTAAAGATGGTTTGGGCTTAATTTCAAAGGGTGTTATATTCATGGCTTCAAATACTGATAGAACGCTGAATTTAGAACAGAACTAATTTTTTAAAAATTTTATTTAAGGAGAAAAAAACAAAAAGGGTACAAGTTATACAGAATTTCAGAAAAAATAAACAGTAGGAAATCACTAGTTAATTACATATTGTCATCTTAGAAATAGTTGTTCAAGTTACAAAATTAAAGCATATAGAGGGGACTTTCAAACAGTGAGACTGCAAACAGTTTTGTTCAATGATCCAACAAAACTCAGTAATATGGTTTATCTATCTTATAAACTTAAATATATATGCAGTTATATCCTTTAGAGCACTTTCTTTTCCTTTCTTTTGTACAATGACAATTATACATTTTGGGTTTTATTACTCCCACAGTTCTTACTACTTTTTTTCTTTGAAGAAAGTAAAACCAAATGTGACATACCAGGACAGAGTCAGTCAAATCAAAAGGATGGACATAATATATAATATAAAAAACAGAATACAAGGTGATCAACAATGGTTATCATACTGCCTCTTGCTATCTTAAAAAGAATTTCCTATATCATCAGTTATAATAAAATTGAACAAAACAGTAAAGAATAAGACCAATAAAACCAAAACATTGGAGATATTAGAGGACTTCAAAAGAAGACGATAGTCAACCAGAATGGGCGTCATAATGAATCCTATTGTCTTCATAGTTGTTGCCTAGACTTTCGAACTCGGTACTATCAAGCATAACAGAATAGAGGAAAATCAGTCAAAACAAGATGTTGAGAGCAATACAGGGTTTCATATCAAGTTAATAAGAAAGTAAAGTGGGTTACTATAATATATCCTGCTTTTTAAATTTATTTTTCCCTTAATTAAAAGGATAAAAATGAAAAAGTAGATAATAAAAAGGAGATTGAGATAAAAAAGAGGGCATAACAACAAAACAGTGCAGGTCAGAACATAGCCATTTAAGCAAAATAGTGTTTCACCACAGGATAATCTCGACATAAAAGTAGTTACCATAGTGTCTCTTCCCTTAAAATTTTTGGGTATAACTTCGTAGAACAGAACTAATTATACAGCATATACGACTGTCACCTAGGATATGTGGAAGTATTTTTTTTTTTCATATAACTATTATCTATCTATTTTTTTTTTTGGTACTGGGGATGGAACTCGAGACCTGGTGCTTACTGGGCAGGCGCTGTGCCACTGAGTTGTGTCCCTGTTCCGCTCTCCTATAATTTTGATAAGAAAAGGAAGATGCCTATTTCTGTTGTTGGCGAAAGCTGTCCTGCTTACCCAGCACCGTGTGCACCCTCTGGTTTATGCACAACCACCTGTTGGAAGGTGCAGAATGACCATACTGGACAAGTATGGCTATGTATATATATTGCCATTTCCCTGTAAAAAAAGCAAGGGAAATCTGACCTTTTTATTTGTGCCTAAGATGATTTCTCCTTGAAAAAAGGAGTAAGGTTAAATATAAAAACCTGTACTTGCTTGTCCATGAAATTCAGATAACAGTGAATGGTGTGATAACAGTGAATGGTGTGACTTACGTTGCCGTATTGAAACCGCCGCTAGTGATAATTCCTGCTGTTATTTTCTCTCTAGCTGTGGAAGATTAAATCGTAATCATCCAGAGAAGAGAAGAGGTCGCCTCTTCTCCGGAATCCAAGTCCCGCCCTGGGCTGCAGGAGTCTCCACTGGGAATCGAAGTGTTTACATCAGACTGTCGTGTGCAATCCTTCTATTTATTTTTCTTGTTCATGTTTTTACATTTATTTTAGTGTTTAAATTTTATTTTTAAGCATTGATGTTCTTAGTTGCGGAAAGGGTGGTAAAGCTGATCTCCAGATACCTGAGACCCTGGTGGTGGCTCCTCAGAGGACACCGCAGACACAAGCCATCCGTGGCACCGCTCCTCCCTGGCCTAGCCTTGCCTTATCCGGGAGGATGCTGTGCCCTGTGCCCAGCACACATGGGCTCCCTGTTCCTTGGTAAACTGAGATGCAGCCAGGGTTTCTCCGGACACTTCGGAGCCGTGCCGGGGTCTAACTGACTAAGCTGCAGCGAAGCCTCCTTCAGTATTATACGTACGGCATCACACAGCAGGTCAACAAGTGCTCTTTGATGATAAAACCCTTAATGGAGCAATAATTGTAAATGGTTACCATACTGTAAGATATTTTGATAAAAATTAATTAGTAATAATTGTATTTATTTGAAACACTGGGCTGTTTGCACAGCTCCAACTGTGCATGCTCAAAATGTGCACTTTTAAACATTGTTACTTTTACTGTCTCCTCTGTGGGTATGTTACATTGTCCTGGGGCATGATACGGTATCCTTTCAGTGAGGTCTGAACTCAGCTCACAAGTGAAGTGCCTATTGATATTACTGAACACATTATGTTTACTCAAATAGAATAATTTTCTCCCGTGGTACCCTAAGGTGTGTGCTGTTCATACCACGTTTAAATGAACAACTTAAGAATAAGCTTAAGAACCAGTAAAATGTTCCTCAGCTAGTTAGAAAATTATACCCAAGTTTTCAGAGAAGACAGCCTCAGCTTGCGAATTCTGCCCTCTAACCTGCATCTGGTGCATCCTCCCCCACTGTCTAAGGGCTACTTTAGATGCAGTTCACTGCTCTCCCTTCAGTAGTTTGCAAGCGCCCAGAGACCTTACTGTGTGGGCGCGTTAGGTGTGCAGGACGAGTGTGATAGTGTCTTACTTCGGCCTTGATTTAAGTCGTTACCTTTGTACAATCAGGAGTGTTTTAGGGATTACATGAAACATAAAATGACTGTGTTTTTTTTTCAACTGAGCATCTGGTTTCTAAAACAAAGAATTTATTTGAAACAATCTAGACTTTTCCTGGTGCAACGTGTATCACTGACTATCCTCATGTTTTTACCGTGTTTTCTGGAATTTGTAAATACTGATCTGGTTGGTGCCGCTCTAACCTTCAGATCAGGAGAGTGAGGGGAAGGGGCGCGGCGCTGCCCTGCCCGGCACCCCGCCCCCGGCCTCCGGCCAGCCTCGCTGCATCTCCAGTGCATTCTCCTCCTGCCGGACAACTGGAAGCGTCCTGTCCATTGGCCTCTGTTCCGACGTGTCCAACGATGACCAAAGTGCATTCTGAGGGTTTTCAAGGGACGAGTTCCTCGAGCTTTAAGAACATTCTTAGTTTCTTGTGAAAAATTAGGCTTCGTCTGATGTGTTTCTTCTTCCTCTATTGTGTAACATTGAGGTTTTTAGGAATTATATTTTATAAACTTTTTCAAAATAAGGTACATACCTATACAGAACTTAAGATTTTGCACAGAATATAACAAATATATTTTGAGAAAAAAAAAAGTACGGCATGAGTTCTGTTAGGAATAAAATATGGAAGTATTGTATCTCATAAAAAGTTATTTCAGAATAGAAATATTTTTGAGAAAAGTAGCTGAGTATGCTGATTTAGGGAAATGCTTGTTTAGGTCAAAGTTCAGCTTAACTTAGAGTTGGCAGTTGAAAGTTATTAATAATATGTTGAATTATGTGACTAACGTGAGCAACAGTAGAATACTAAAAGTTGTTATTTCAAGCAATTTCCGAACGTTGACAGAACTGTTTCAAAGTAGAACATTGACGTTGCTGCCTTTAAGAACCCCATGAATGTAAAGGCGTGTGGCATATCACATAGTACGCAAGGGCAGATGCGGGATCGTGCCACGTGTGTGTGCTGACTGTGCTTTGCCACGTGTGCTGCATGTGGGAGTTTGGACAGTAAGTTTGAAATAAAACATTCTATGACTGACTTTTTTAAAAGTCATTACATTTCTGTGGTAATTTTGTGTTTCAGTAGCATAAACTTGAGTTATAACTGTTAGATTTGGGAGTAGAGGAAATAACTTTTTTAAAACTTTCCCAACACTTGAGACTTTATTATGAATCTTAGAACATGAAAGAAAAACAGTTCCTGTAGAGAGAGTTCTAAAGTGACAGAGGACGTAAAGCTTACTACAGTAAAGGATCCATTACCAGTGACAATGGCGAGTTTGAAGTAGGAGGAGATATACTGGGCACGTATTTTGAGGGGAACTAATGGCACTGTGCCTTTTACCGTGGTAAATTCTTAAAATTTAAACATTCACTGTTTTTGATCACTGCGGGTACCTAGGCTTTCCATCCCAAATGCTTTACATTACTGGGGTTGGTTGGTTTGTGTTGGATATGGCGTGAACTCTTAAGACTCAGGGGAGAAGGGTAATGGAGCATTTAAACAAAGAGCCTTGCTGTGTGAACTCGGCGTGCCCACAGCAGATGGTTGTGCTCCCTCCTGTGTGGGTTACCAGCTGGTACAGTCTGATCAGTGGGCTTCAGTCAACCAGGGGCTGTTCGGGTGCACTTGGGAACTCACTGAGAAGGCCTGAGGACCACAGTTCAAGCCCAGCCTTAGGAACTTGCCTCAAAAAAATCCTTTAAAAGAGATCGGGAATGTACCTGGGCCAGGGTGGGGGCGCGGATGCTGACGACAACAGCCGCCCTCCTGCAGGTTTAGAACTGGCTCCTCGTGACTCCCTTCAGACTGGAGAAGAACGCATTTCTCTCATTTGCAGCATTACTGCAGATGCTAATTCCCAACTTTCTTCTTTACCTTTCACCCGAGGCTGAGATAAAATATGCCCAAAATGAAGGAAGGAGAGGTTTGTTCAGCTCAGTTTGTGGAGGTTTCAGTCCATAATCACTGGCTCCCAGGCAGGGTGACATGGCATTGGGGCAGCCATTCATGGTGGCAGCAAATGGCAAAAGCAGCAAGAGCAAAAGAGAGAAAAAAGACTTCTGTTGTATGCAGACCACCCACCCTAGGATGGGTGTAGCACTCACACAATCCTAGCACTGGACCGTGAGTCAATCACAAACTCTAGATTCAGCCATCTCTGAAAACCACACACCCCCACGATTGCATGAGGCTTTGGGGGGTGTCCAGACACAAAACCATAACACCTACCTGTTTTCTGCCATTCTCCCTAAAGGGCACTGGAAGTGCAAATGCTTAACAGTATGCTGGCTTCCCCCAGTACTTCTGGAGTTGTAGGAGACTGCCTGGGATGGGAAAACCCCATGTCTTTTTGCTTTTCCCATCACACAGCAACATGTTACAGCCTGTTCCCCAGCAGGCACCAGTTCTGCAGGGCCTGTGCCCTCATCCAGCTCCAACAGGCTGCTTGGAGAGAGTGGGCCCACGAGACTGCCCTACTTCACTTGCCGGTTGCAAACTCTAGATGGTCTGTGTGCTTCCCACCGCTCAGCTATAAATCGGGGTTCCCACAGCCCTTCCTTGGGTCTAACTTGTTAGGCCAGTTCCCAGAAATCAGGGAGACCCTGTGTTTCCAAGCTGATTTTAAAGGACACAGGTGATGGGGGAGATTCTGAGGGCAAAGTGTGGGAAGGAACACCCCAGGAGCCTCCTCTGTCGCTGGGTAGTGACCCAGAAAGTCTTAACTCTGGAAGAACAATGCTACGGGGTCCACCACATGGGCACAGTATGCATTTCTTGCCCCTGGAATCCCCAAACTCACAATCATGACTTGGGTTTTCTGATGACCAGTCTGCAGAATGTCTATTTTTCCTACAGCACAGAGTTGGTACAGGTACATTTTCAAAAAACTGTTCCCTAGATGATTTGGAAAGCAGTTTCGCCCTTGCCCAGCCTTCACTGCCTGGAAAATTACTACCTGAAGGTGATGATTGCAAAGCATGCAAGTTGCATGAAATTCTAAATATTTGCCATTTTCCCAGCAGCTAAGATAGTGTCTGATGCATAGAAGACTATAGTTACTGAGCAAATGAGTAGCAAATCCAATAGAACCCAGACATATTCTAGTCTAAAGTGTTCATTTTGCCATATTAAAAACAAATCAAGCCGGGGCTGGGGATTTAGCTCAGTGGCATAAGTGCCTGCCTTACAAGCAGGCAGTCGTGAGTTCGATCCCTGGTACCGATAAAAAGGAAAAAGACAAAAAAACAAACAAACAAACAAATCAAGCCATAAAAGTAGAAAGTTTGCCCAAGGCTGTACCACTCATCAGTGATAGAACTCAAATCTTACTCCTTTTGTAGGTATATTGTATAGTTGTGTGCTTTTTGACTGCAGGTGAGATGGAACCCAGAGCCCTGCAGATACTAGGCAAGTGCTTACACACACACACATATATATTCTTGGAGAAAGAATCATCTTGCTACTCTATTTAACCTTGTGGTATGGCCTCTTGGACATATGCTTTCATGTCAGGCTTGTTTTACAAGCAAGCAAATTACTTAGCCTCTGTGAACTTTGATTTGCTCAGCTGTAGGTTCCTGACGGTGATACCTGCTTACAGGGATATCAGAATTACTGGACATATGTGAAGCACCTAGCACAGAACTGTTAATGTGTTGACTTTACAGAAGGTTGGCCTCTTTTCGTCTCTCCCGGCAAGAAAACTAGCAGCAGCCCACAGTGACCACAGATCTGCAAGCTACACCATGCACAGCACATACGATACCAAATGCCTCTCCACCTATTAAGAATCATGCGTCATAGAAATTATCATCTATGGGGAATTCTACAAGAAGCCAACATTTAATTCTTTTTCTTCTAAAGCGGGCACTGAAGTTGGAGAGGCAGGTTTCCGCATTCTTTTGGAAGTCTGTGTATCCTATCTAATTGTGAAGACTCCTGCTAGACTTTCAGGTGCATATTCCACTCGAATGTCTTCATCACTGGAGGTCTGTCTCCCCAGAGTCCTGGTCTCTGTTCGTCTTGGTCCTTGGCATCACATCTACCTTGCTGGAGAGCATCCAGGTTGACCTTTTGCCACCTGTGTGTACCAGGACATTGCTGGAAACTGCAAGTACTGTATTTGGCAGTTTTTAAAATCAGTCTCGATGTGATCCTTACAGTGGCCCTTCCAAACCTCTTAACACCCTCAAGCTCCTGGCCTGTCCTGTCCACTGCCAGCGTTTTCCCCCTGACAGGTGGAAGTCCTTAGGCGGGACTGATTTCTACTTCTCCGGCTTGAGCTCAGTGGAATAGATGTTGCCCTCTGAAGCCAGCCTCCTTCTGACCTCAGGATTGTGTCTCTGCCAACCTATATGATGCCACCTCTGTCATCCCCCACCCACCATCATCTCCAGTCTTTTCTCTTTGAGATATATAAAGCATTAGGTTGCACAGAGCATACCGGAGCGCAGACTCATGGGAGAAAGGTTAGATGCTCACAGGTTGGGTGGAAGTGTATGTGTTAGGTGGCCCTGGTGAGCGCTGCCCACGACAACTCTCAGCTGTGAAAGGCAGGACACTGCTGCTGCGTGTTCACCATGCTGAGCTGGACTCACTGTTCTTCCTCAGCCAGAGCCGAGTGGGTTAAAGATTGGTGCCCCTAAAGCAGCCAGCCGTGTCCTGGGCCTCTGTGGACCCTGTGGGGTTAGCTGGGGAGAGGACCCTGCCCAAATTGTGACTCTCAGGCCAGATTCTCCCTGCAAATTTCACCTCAGATCATAGAGTCAGCAGCAGAAATCCTGGAAAAGCAGAAATCCCAGAGGAGAAGAGCCAAAGCTGACTGACCTGCCCCAAAGTGGCAGAGGCTAAGAAACTGATACTTGCGCAGGTGTTGCTGTCAGATCACCGCAGCCAACTAGTCTCAGGCTGTGGCAGTCCCACGTTATGTCCTGAATTTGCGACACTAGATGCCTCCACTTGTTCTTACAATAAACCTTTTCACAGGAAGTGGCCTGCATGACCTCAGCCTGAAACAGCTCCTTGCAAAGGACTGGTCAATCTAAGCCGTTCTTCTTCTCTAATTTGCTTTTCTTCTTATTTTTTTCCCCTTAAGTGTAATACTTGGGAGATTTGTTTTATAGTTTTGATGAATTTAGGCCTCTTATGTCCACAAAGCAACAATCTCAGTGCTGTGTTCCTTGCCCCTGCCCTTTCGTAAAATGTTAATTAACAGGTGGTCTGTTTACATAACTTGCTGACTTGTTTTTGTCTTTCAAGGTTTAAGTCCAACTCAGATCATGGTTAATCTCCCTGGTAGGTTTTCTGGAGTTTGGGAGTTACAGTTTCATCTTAGTCAAATTCTCCCACAAGTTTTGATCTATCATTTATATGTGGGAATTGACTGCGTTCCCAACCAAGAGGGGTGATTCAGGGCAAAACAGACACTGGTTCGCCTCCCTGGAGCACAAACCCAGGGCCTGCAGATGCATTTACCAGACTTTCAGCTGACAGCTTTCTGCTTTCTGTTTATACCCGTCGTCTCAGGATCAGGGTTGCTGGGTCAGTTCAGTGGGGCTGAAAGGCTCTCAGAACATGAAGTCTGCTGCTGGGGAGAGACGCTAGGATATGAGGTCAGCCTAGGAAATGGGGCAGCAGACTGACTAGTTTGAAACTCCAATTTTATAGTTCTTCTTTCATCCATTCTACGGATCGTTCTTTGATAAGTGCTGGGCACAGAGCTAGACACCAGGGATGTAGACTTTCCACACAGTTCCTCTTCTCATCTCACCTGGAGGCTAGGACATGACTCTGTCTTGTAAACAGATCGGTTTCTGGAGGGTGCATGCTCTGACAGAGTTGCCAGACTAAGAATCACATGCGGGCAGCTCCGAATGGCCAGAGGAGATGGTGTGAATGGGCATGCAGTGGACAGTTAGGCCAGAGATGACTGTGGAGCTAAGGAACTGGGATTCTACCATCCCAAATAAGGGAGGGCTGGCATGGTGGCCTGGAGCGCCCCTTTGCTTGTTTAGTAGCAAGGCAGTGTCACATTCTTCTGCGTACTCAGT